TTGTCTTAAGAAAAAGATATCTTTGGCCTATGTGTTCATACGAATTTATGATCCAATGTTTTTTTTAAGAAAAGTGAGATGTTAGGGCCAAAATGTCCACTGGTGGATTTGGCAATTGAAGTAAAAATAAAGTAACAATGTTTTGTATCTATTTTTTCTTTAGCTAGTAAATAAATATTCTATATTAACTAATTATGTTTCTATGGCATTCGTTATCTCTTCCCTTAGACGTGAAACTGAACTTTAAATTTTTTAAAAAATATAGGCAACAAAATCAAAGTTATTACATCAGAACTTAAAGTAATTTTTTTAAACTTAAAACAAATAATGCATCTACTGTTAGCCCTAAATCCCCATATTAAAGACTTGAGCTGATCCAAATGTCTGACGAAAATATTATCTGACTCTTATTTTAGGATAGTTTTCTTTTTCAACTCTTTTATTTTCCTGCATATGCAATTTAAGTGTTTGAGTTATGAATTAAAATCATTGATAAAATCTTGAATCTATAGTTTTAAATGCTATATATTATTATTTATTATAAATAGCTTCAATATTATAAAATTATCTTTAATATTAATTTTTATAGATATAAAAGTTTATAATTTCGGTTTACAAAAAAAAATATCAATTATAACTGCAGCTCTTTAGTTAAATACGAATGGAATGACACTTATCAAAAGGCCCCTCTTTTTTAGGAGGACTTTTTTGTGAACTTGAGAATCGAAGTAAATTTAGGTGCGTAGCTAGGAATTTGTTTAAAAAATTAAAAATTCATCTTGAATTATTGAACATTAAATACATTGTAAATTCATTCGGAACATTAAAATAATTGACAATTACTAATATATAAATAATTTATATTTTAAATTCTATATATATTTTAAGTGCAAAAATGCTGTTTTAAATTATTAAATTCATATAAAACTGAGGCTGAATATATTTTTCGGCTAAAAATGGTTTCACCGGTTGAATCAGCTGATACGGCTAAAGAGCGATTCCTATTATGAATCACTTAAAACATATATGTGTTGAATATGTAATATTTTCAAATTTAACTATTCTTCCTTTTTAGGAACTCAATTATGTCATTCTTAATATTAATTTTTTTTTCTTTTGAAAGTTTTTATTAAATTTTTATAGATATTATACGTAATAGTTTTAATAAATGATTTAATGATTCTAAAAAAAATTATAAGAATTACTTATTCTATAAAAATATTTTATATATAAATTATATTTAAAAGATTTAAATGTTGTAGACTAATTAATACACAAAAATATTCTTAAATATGTGCAATCTGTTTTGTGATTGAGCTGATTTTTTGAATAATTTTATCAGTATTTGGTAATGTTAAATATCTCGATATACGAATGATTTTTTAAAAAAGGTTAAATTAAGATTGCAACCAAGTAAATATTACTATTTACTAGCACTTAAGATCGCACCAAAAAAATTTTATTTGCAATTTTGTTTGCATCATATTATTACATATAGCCTAAGAAAAACCTATGTTTAACAACATTACAAAATATGCTTTCAAATACGTAAATTGGAGAGGTATGGGAACACAATATTAAGCGAAAAATTAAAATTTGCTTGATGCAAAAGGCGAGATTATTTTTTTAACCCTTTAAAGCTCGACTTTTTAAAATAAAACTAAAAAAATTTTTTTATAAATAATCTTCATTTATATACACCAAGGATGTAAAATTTTTATTTCGACTTTTATTTCATAGTATACAGGTAAAAAAAAAAATCATGATACAATTTGGCATCATTGAGCGAAATGCATGTATATAAAAAAATATTTATTTATATATTATGAAAAATTTTTTAAAATTTATTTCCTAGTTATAGCATAAATTTTTCCAAACATAGTCCTTAAATATGCGATAACACATAATTTACACCTTTTTCGAGTCTTAAAAACTTCTGGCCAATGCCCTAAATTATCATATCTAACGTCAGTTATTATCTGAGGTAACTTAGATCCTTTTTGCATTTTAGGATTTTCTTTTGATGGTCTCCCTATTTTTATTTTACTAATTTTACCTGCCATTAACAAGGCAGGAACTATTTGAGATTTAAATGTTATAAGTTTTATAAAAGTTTTTCATTTTTTTGAAGTAATGTCTTCGATACAATAACCATGCATTCACAATGCAGGTATCTATCATATGAATATTATTCGAAGTGATATGGTGTTGGAATATTATTTGGGGGATTAAAAAAATTTTTAGAAAATGTTGTATCAAATGATTTAATATTTTTTAATACCCAATTACTACTGAGATTAGGAAAACTAGGACCTTCATGAACATTATCAAGCTCTATGTGGAGTAGTGTTGTTAAACGGCTCATTTTGAGCCGATTTTTTAAAACGGCTAACTCAATATTTTAGCCAGAAAAATTATGCCTAAACCTCGAGATTTTGGTAATATATGTCTAAACCTTTGTTCCTTCTATGAGCAAAATCTTCAGGCTTGCGTAATATTTTTCTGGGTGGAATATTGAGTTAGCCGTTTTTAAAAATCGGCTCAAAACGAGCCGTTTAACAACACTAATGTGGAGTGCATTTATGGGCCGAATCTATATCTATATTGTCAATAGGATGATTAAAATTATCCTCACTATTATCAATATCTTTTTCCGAAATATCACCTTCAAATTTTATTTGACATCTATAAAAAATAAAATTTATTCAATGTTAATATAACTTATTAAATTCCCAATGAGTTAATTTGGCATCATAATTTTAAAATTATATTTACAAAAATAATTAAAATTCTAAAAAAATATAAATTCATGACATATTTGAATATTTTGTCTACTTTATAAAATAAACAGTTTTCAAAATTTTTCAATTAAAATATATTTAAATAATATGTAAAATCAATTAATTCAGAAAAAATCGAAACGGAAATATAGTCAAAATTTACATGATAATAAAATAAAAACAAAGTTTTTTATTATTGATAAAATACGATTGCATACATTTGTATATTTATTTAAAAATGTTAAATTAAATCATTGAGTGGTTTTAAACGTTAAAAAATAACATTCAATATGATGATGTCAAATTAGCTCACAGGACTTTAAAAAGAATATAATAAATGCAATCCCAGCAATTAAGTTATTAGGACATGAAGCAAATTACATCCTCCTGCAAGATTGAGCTTCTTGTCATACTGTATGAAAACCTTGCAAGAATTATAATATTCATCTGTTACCATTCTCCAGATTTCAATAAATAAGTTTTAAAAAAAATAATAAGTTCAATAAAATGGGGTAGTATATAATAGTGATCTGCATCGGGCCTAATTTTTCAAGCCCGGCCCGGAATTTTTTAAAAATATTTATCGACCCGGCCCGGCCTGAATTTATTTAAATATAGAAATTAATCTTTATAATTACTCAAAATAAAAGACATATGTTATGTCGTTTAGTTCCGTTTAGGCCGGGCCTAACTTTGCAGATCTCTAGTATATAATACAATCTTGTTAAAATTTACAGTTAAATTATTCAATTTTATAAATATTTTAAAAAATATCTTTTATTTGACTCTAATCATTTAACTATTCGTATTCGTTACTATTCGATTCGTTTTTGAATATGCCTCTACAATTTAAAAATTGGGTTAAAAGACAGGAGGCAATAGAAGCATTTAGAAATTCAAAATGCATAGAATTGCCACATTTAGTGTCGTTAAACGGCTTACTTTGAGCCGATTTTTAAAAACGGCTAACTCAATATTTTATTAGGAAAAATATTATACAAGCCTTAAGATTTTACCCATAGGCGGCATAACGGTTTGAACATCTATTGACGAAATCTCGAGGGTAAGGCAATATTTTTCTGGCTAAAATATTGAGTTAGCCGTTTTTAAAAGGCTCAAATCGAGCCGTTTAACAACACTAGCAACATTTTTCAAAAAAATGGAAATTTTTTTCCCCAGCCCGTTTGAGATCGTAATTGAGTTCTTTTCTTGCATCATATATAATATGTTAATCTAAGATGTTGCAAATATAGACTTATTTAAACCATAGACTGCTTACAAGCCGAAGAATATTTTATATCAGCCATATATGGGTTTTTTAAAATGCTCTTTTAAATTTTAATCATTAAAAAAATTAAGGAGTCCAGCAACAAACATGCCCAAAATATGTAACAAGGCAGAATATATGCATTGCTCTGCCCACAATAATTCACGTTTTACTATGCATTTAAATCTTATCTTTTGTTGCTAACTTTCATCGGGTTAATAATAGCTTTTGTGGAGTAGACAAAAAGATATACAACAATTTAAGAAATGTAAAAGTTCCTAAACACAAAAAAATTATTACTAATATCAAATTTTTTGAGAACATATTTTTAGATAACATTCCCAAGTCAAAACTCAAATATATCAACTTGAAGAATAATCCATGGCATTTATCATAATTTTTTTTATTCACATTTATTTTTATATGATATAAATTATATGAATTTTTTTCTCCTATTTTTTATAACTTTTTTTTGATTTTTTTTTCATTAATGTTATAAGCTTTATGAATAAGATATAATTATATTTATATTGGTAACAAATTACGCTTTAGAAGAGGATTTATACTTCTTATAGGTATAAATAAAAACTGATAAAAAAATATATATATTATTATAAATTATATACATATTCAATCTCATTATGCTAATCCAATCGATTGAAATCTAAAAAATCACTGGATAATACGATATTGCCCACATTGGTTTGTATTACATATTATTGCTTCAAATGTTTATATTTATTTTTTTATAAAAACTACTAGGATGTATTATGCTCTTTTCAGTTAAAAGTTAAAACTGTGTCATCCTATGACTTCTTTCCCAAAAAAATAAATTATGGGACATTAGTTTTCATAATCCTTTTTTGAAAATAAAAATTTAAACTATCAAATTATCGAAGTTTATAAAAATCATTATATTATACATAACATTTTATAAAATATTTACATTGGAAAATAATAAATAATTGGCTATAAATAATCAAAATATATTTAAAATATTGTTTTTTAAATTACAAGTGTTGGAAGAACTGCGTGCGTTATTTTTATTTGTTATAATCGGATAATAATTCGTTGATATGTACATGTAGAAAAAGTAATATAGAAATAAATTGAAAAAAAAATTGGGTATTGAACTCGTTCAATTATACATACTCGTGGAAAATAAAATTTTCGAGTTTTGAACAAGAGAAAATATGTTATAAAACAAATAAGGGTGGGGGTGTGGGGAGGGGGGGGGGTATTTGAGATTTGATTCATTTTATATTTTAAATTTCTTTTTTTAAATTATATATCAAAAATTTGTATAAATAGGATTTTGAGTCAATTATATATAAAAGTTCAAATTTATATACATAAAAAACGGTCTAATAAAATTTAAACCAAAATTAGCTTATATGTAGATTAAAAATATATAAAACGAGAATATACTAACCCGGTATTTGCGGTATTCATGGTTTATTAAGATTTATATTTTGATTTGAAAAGGTCAATATTTTTTTTAAATAATAAAAACTAAAATTATTTTTTTATCATATCAAGTTAAAATTAATAAATGAATACTTTCTAACAAAAACTACTGTACAGTGTACATATATAATGTAACCATTTCGTTAAAATTAGGATAGATGATTCTTAATTGTTATTTATAAAACGAGGGAAGCAGTCCAGAAGATGATGGAGGGGGTGGATATCTAAAGGGTGGCAATCCCAGCAAGGATTGATGATCAATAACGTTACTCACAACGCTCTGCTTATTAAATGTAGGGGGTGGGTGGGGTGGAAAAAATGGGGGATAGGATATGGGAGGCGGGGTTGATAAAATAATGCCCCCTCCACTTGAGTGTCCTATAATATGTTGTTGGTGAGGGTGGTGTTTGTGATCGACGAGGTCGTTTCCAACCGGCGAGCTACTATTCAGATATAAGAAACCCTGATTGAGAGGCTGAGTCGGGGCATTTATGTGGCTTGGAAAAACACCTTGTACGGCTGAGCTAGATGAATTATACTTGTTTGAAGATGGATGGCCTCCGTTATTTGCTTTATTGTGCAGGTGAGCAGACGAGGAGTGAAATGGCGACGGCTGAGGCTTAAGGTAGAAGGTGGGGTCCTAGTGATAAACAATATAATAAGAGGTATATATTAGTTTTATTTCGTTTCTTACCCTCTCCCTCCATTTATTCCTTTAGGATATATTTATATGGTATCGTAAAAAAAATTCTAATAATCTTGATCAATTTATTTAAATACAATTGATGATCTACTTTCATAATGAATAATACAGCTCTCTTAAAAAATATAATTAGATTTTTTGAATAGGAAAAACCTGCGGGACAGCCCTTATCAGGAAGGGAACATCTTTCGATAATTTTGGTAAATCTTTGGGCGTCACTCGGGCAAATGGTGAGAAAGCGCATTTTATCATAAAATCTCGGGTGTAAGCTATTCGAGTGACATCTTTGGGCACCGGTTTAACGTGAGGATCTTTCGGAGCGGAAATAAAAAAGATCATTAATAAAGGTAGTTTAACAACCGCTGGTATGGTATAAATAATAATAATAATAATAAATAAAGGAAGTGTTAAATATGTAAAAATAAAATGAATAATGTAACCTTTAAAATTTTTTAACCTTAAAAAATTTACTTTCGTACTTTTCTTTTTCTATATGTAAAAACTTTAAATTAAATTCTTTTTCTTTAATTTAAAATAAATCTTAATTTTATAAAATTCTTCTTTTGTATATATGTAAATAATTATAAAAAACAATATATATTATATAGAGAATGAAGATTGTAAAAAGAGATATTGTTACAAATAAAAAAAGTTTTTATTTTTATTATTTCTCGTAGCTTTCTGCGTTTTATTATGGTGGCAGAATAAAACTACCTATTTATAGTAACGTTACCTAAATATACTATTCGCCGATTATATAATGAAAGAAAAAATGATTATACATTCACAATATATAAAAGCAGGACTATTGTTCATTTATATTATCATCGATTAGAAGACATGCAGAGTGCTTATAGACTGATACATGGCAAGGAATACATAGACAGTAATGGGAGATTGTTCATCTTAAAAGCAAAGAGATACCAACTATATTAAATAGTTGTATTGTGTTTTGCTATATATATATATTATAAATTATGATTATAAAATATTGAAATAATAAAATAAAGATGAAACCTTTAATAAATTTAAAGAATAATTTTATAGAGTGTCCAACTTATACTAGCAATAGTTTTTTTTAAAAAATTTGACCTTATTTTTAGAGAACCTAAATTCACAGATGCGGAGAAGGCGTATGCGTTTACACAAAAACTGCCCGAGGAGGAATATCTGAAGTTAGAGGCTATATTTACTCCAACCGAATTTAGCAATCCGTCAATTTTACTTGAAAGATTCAAACTACTACATCCGGATATCATACAGACATATTTAAAGGAGTTTAATAGAAAAAAGTGTGACATTCAGCGATTGGGTAAGTTATTTATATTAAGGAATACATGTAAATTCAATGATTATAATAGAGCAATTGAAAAAATTGCTATTAATAAGGAAATATGGCAGAAAATTTTACGTACAGAAAGTGTAACTATACCAGAGATATTAAAAATAGGGAAGGAAATGAGGAACAAGAGGCGTTTGATAACATAATTAATAAAACAGAAAATATAAAAATAGAAGGTGACACTGTAGCAATAAAACAAATAGTATGTATTCCGTGTATCAGTCTATAAGCATTCTGCATTATCTTCTAATCGATTATAATATAAATGAATAATTGTCGTCCTTTGATGTATTGCGAATGTATATTCATTTTTTCTTTCATCGTATAATCGGCGAATAGTATATTTTGAAGGTAACGTAACTATAATTAAGTAGTTATATTCTGCCACCATGATAAAACAATGCAATTTAAAAATTAATTAAAAACCAATATGTCGCAGTGATGTTAAATTACACTTAAAAAAAGATGCAAAACCGAAGATTACCAAGACGCGTTCCGTATAAAAGACTTGATCTAATAACAAAAGAGTTACAAAAATGGATTGATGATAAGATAATAGAACCAGTAGAGGAAGTACGCTGGGCAAGTCCACTCACACCTGTTTATAAAAGTGATGAATCACTAAGGCTATGTGCTGATTTCAAAAATACGATAAACCCTGCTTTAGAGGACTTTAAATATCCTATACCGCGTATCAATGATTTAATTTCAAAATTATCGAAAGAAAAAAAGTTTACAAAAATTGATTTTAAACGCATTTCTGCAAGTACCAATACATAAAGACTCTAGAGATCTACTTACAATATCAACGCACAAGGGTTATTAAAGATTTACAAGACTCCCATTTGGTTTAAAAACTTCATCAGCAATATTCCAATGTACTATGGATCGAATTTTTGGAGACATGAAGGATGTCATATTTTACATAGATGATTTACTGATAACTGGTGATAATGTTGAAACGCATGTGAACAACATAAAAAAAAGTCTTCGACAAAATATCAAAATATGGACTTATACCAAATTTCAACAAGAGTGTGTTTCTGAAGAAAGAGATAAGATTTCTTGGACATGACATAGACGAAAAAGGAATACATCCGAACGAAGACAAAATCAAAGCCATTACAAACATGCTAGAACCGACAACAAAAGATGAATTAGCAACATTTTTAGGCATGGCTAGTTGTTACAGAAAATTTTTGTGTAACTTTGCAGATTTAGCAGATCCGTTATATAAAATAGTCAACAAAGAAAAATGCGTATGGGAAGATGCACATCAGAAAAGTTTTGATGATTTAAAATGTTGATCAGTAGTCCGCCAACTCTAAATTTTTACAACCCTGATTTACCAATAAGAATTGCAACTGATACTTCGAAAGGTTTAGGTGCGGTGTTATTTCACAATGAAGGTGATGGTAAAGAGAAACCTATAGCATTTGCGTCAAGAACTTTGTTGAAAGCTGAAACAAATTATACAAATATTGAAAGAGAAGCATTAACTATAATATACGTGGTTAAGAAATTTCAAGAATATTTGATTGGGACAAAATTTACGATAATAACAGATCACAAACCACTAATAATATTTTTTCAAAAAAACTTAAAGAAAATACTTCAATATCAATGCGTTTGCAAAAATGGAATTTGTCAATGGGAGCTTATGATTATACAATAATACATAGACCGGGGAACAAAATTTAGTGCCAGATTGTTTATCAAGATTACCACAGAGAAATACAGAAAGCATGATAAAAAATATAGATGGTGAAAAATTTGATGATAAACAAATAATGATGAAGAATTAATAGAAATAATTGATAATATTAGGAGTAATGAACCGATAAAAAACAAAGAGTACAAAAATATGGAAATGGAATTGAGCTTGATGAAAGATTGTCTTTTTAAGGAAAATAGAATAATAATACCGCTAAACATGAGAAAGGAGATTTTACGTGAATTACATAAGGGACATCTAGGAGCAAGCAAAACAAAGTTGTTAGCAAGAGATTATTTGTGGTGGCCTGGAATAAACACAGAGATAGGTCAAGAGGTAAAAAATTGTGATTCATGCAATAAATAAACAGATAATCCTCACAACATGCAAAACCCATGGGAAAAAGCAACAAAGATTTTTGAACGTGTACATATAGATTTTGCACAATTCGTAGACAACAATTTTATGGTATTTGTTGACGCGAATAGCAAATTTCCGATAATAAAACGAATGAAGAACATAACGATGGAATCAACTGAAAAAGAATTGATGAGAATAATTAGTCAATTTGGAATATCACACAAAATAGTGACATATAACGGTACTAACTTTACTAGCTACTTATTTAAAAAGTTTTGTGAAGATCATGGTATAAAACATATACTCACAGCACCTCATCATCAACAATCAAATGGTCAATATGAACGTATGATAAGAACTATGAAATTGAGTATGAAAAGGAATATGGAAAATAACAAGAATGGACATTGCTTTGGATAAATTTTTGTTTAATTATAGAAATCCCCTATGATACAACAAACATGATACCTAGCAAATTAATGTTTTCAAGGACAATCAGGACTAAATGGGCTTTAATTAAACCACTGGAAGAAAACGAGAATGAAGGAAAATATCGAAGAATAGAGAAATAGTTATAGGAGAAAAGATTTGGTACAAGACGTTTAAAGAAAATATTTGGGATAAAGAAATAGTGATAAAAAAAGATGAGAACTTGTCATATAAAATAGATATTGGACACAATATTATTAGGAAGCATTTAGATCAAATAAAGAAAAGATCAACAAATATAATAACAAATGATACTACAAAGGTATTTAGAGGAGGAAGAAGTGAAGAACAAGTTCAAGTTCAAAAATCCCAAGTTCAAGGTCAAAATTCACAAGTTCAAAAAAGGTGAAAATAGGAATTATGACTTACGACTATGATTATTATAAATAAATAAATTTAAAAAAAAAATAAAGCCAAATGGAAATGGGATGATCAAATACAAACAGCAAATCAACAAACAATGTTCAACAAACGATGATTCAATGGACAAACAAACTCAAGTCGTACTAACAAATGACTAATGGAGCAATAGAGAAACAAATGGCTAATGGAGCAATAGAGAAGATGAGAAACTGAGGAATGAAGTCACTTTAAAAAAAAGAAGGAAATGTTAAATATGTAAAAATAAAATGAATAATGTAACCTGTAAAATTTTATAACCTTAAAAAATTTACTTTAAATTAAATTCTTTTTCTTTAACCTTAAAATAAATCTTAATTTTATAAAATTCTTATTTTGTATATATATGTAAATAATTTAAAAAAATAATATATATATATATAGAATGAAAATTGTAAAAGATAGATAATATATATAAATACATATAATTTAATTTATTGTTTTCATTGTTTTATCAGGAAGGAAGGAAGGAAGGAAGGAAGGAAGGAAGGAAGGAAGGAAGGAAGGAAGGAAGGAAGGAAGGAAGGAAGGAAGGAAGGAAGGAAGGAAGGAAGGAAGGAAGGAAGGAAGGAAGGAAGGAAGGAAGGAAGGAAGGAAGGAAATAATATCTTTTCTTTTATTTTCTCTCTCCACTTTATATTCTTCTTTTTTTTTTAATTTTATTTTTTATAATTTTCTTATAATTTTCTTATAATTTTCCTTCTTTCCTTATAATGTTTAAAATGATACCTTTGGATATCCCAACTTGGTACTTCTTGATAGGAGGAATTATTATATCTTCTTCCTTTTCCTTTTCGTCTTTAACAGGGTGTTTCTTATTTGGCCTTTCCAAAGATGCGTTTAGAAAATATTCGGCTTCATTGTGGCCTTGCTTTCCCATCCAAGGTTTACGTCCTATGCCAACAGTTTGATTATGGTGAAATGAATAAGATCGCTATATTTCAAAAAGTATGGAGAATTATTAAGGTGAAATTTTTTTTAAAAAATAATTAGTAGCATATAGAAAAATTATAATAAAAATTTACTGAAACAAATAGATTAAAAAAGTGAAAACCCTAGAATTATGTTAACCCGGCCGGCCTGCAATAAATGAGCCTAAAGCCTTCCAATAAAATTTATAGGGTAAAACCCCATCTATACTCCCTTCCCCCAATCAAAATACTGGCGTGCATATGTCTATATTTTATACCTTTAATTGATTGCTTTTAGCTTTGATCAATAAGGCCTCCTTCTGGTCTTGACAAATGGCGAAATCTAGCTTCTGCAAAACTTTGTCAGATATTTCTGATTCATCCCCTTCTTTGGAGCTATCCAAAGTCCACTGCAAAGATATTAATATTTTTTGATTTTTATATGATTATTTTTGGATATGTCTACTTTCTTTTTAAATTTATTTCATAATCTTAAAAAAGTCATAGGCAACCTTTTCGCCACTAGTATCACTACTTAACACGACATCGCCCGCACCTTTTCCTTTCTTGGATACCTCGAAGTAACGTTCCAGCACATTCTTAGCCAGCTGTAAAAAAATATTAATTTTATGAGATAGCATTTTAAGAAATCGGTGGTTGAATTTTAACCCACACGTTATATTTTTTAAAAAGAAATTAAATAAATTTCACACAAAACTTAAAATACAAACCCTAGCCCACTAGGGGATACCGGGATAGTGTGTTCCCGGGCTAGGTATTTCCTTCTCGAATAATTTAAAAATTAATAATGTTTAAGTTTTGAAATTTAAGCCAAATATGTATTTTAATAAGGTGCTTAAGTAGGTCCAGAAATGTTTCGCACAAAATTGCTAATGAAAATTTTTAAATGCAAATTATAATTTTAACATACCAAAAGTAAATTTTTTTTAAACATTTTCACTAATAACTTTTTTTATAAACGTTGTTTAGACTTAATATTAATTCTATATGATAAAGAAATATATATTTTAACATATATAAAAATATTGACACAATTTATGGTAATTTAATATCTTAAATTAAATTTAATTATTGTGAAGACCTGGGGCAGGTTTTGGCGGGGTACGTATTAGCCATTTTTAAGTAGGGATTATTAATAAAAAAAATCCAACTAAATTTATAAAAATATTAGAAGTCACTAGTTTGTCTAGGACTACTAATGACAATATGAAGATGATTGACTTATTTTTTGTAATTATATGACAGATTTAATGATAACAAGTACTTCCGGGTGATATACAGTGTTGTGATGATTTAATGAAACATATTGACGATTAAATCAAAACCAATCCATATAAAATTATAATCTTTGCAAAAATAATTAAAATAACAAAAGTAATAATAAAAGAAATTTCAATAATGTTTTGTCTATATTTTAATTATTTTTGCAAAGATTATAATTTTATATGGATGGGTTTTAATTTAATCGTCAATATGTTTCATTAAATCATCACAACACTGTATATGATTAGATGAACCCTAATAAATTTAACATAATTTATTCTTATTTATTTACTTAGAATCAACACTTTTATATAAAAAAATTTTAAAAATCTAAAAATAAAAAAGCGATATGACACGTAACGTGAAAGGATAATAGATACCCTAGGTGTTTTTCATAAAACTTAAATTTTCATTTTTTTTAAATTTCGCATTAATTAAAAACTAAATGATTTTTTTCTTAAATATTAATTTCTATCGTAGAGATAAGAATAAAATTACGCTAAAACATTTTAGAAAAAATTGCTTTGTCTATTTTTTATAACACTTCTATTTTTTATGGACAAACTGTCCCCGGTCTCCCCTATAATAATCAACACTTATATTCGATTAACATATCCATCCCGCCTCCTTATGCATTTTAACTTAACGAAGGGAGGTGGCATATAAAATAAACAATTTTGAGGATGGTATTTTTGCTCATAAAAACAATTTATATGGGAATTAATAATTTTAAAGTTAATAAAAGATTAATTAATACTTCCAATATTTCAGAATGTTTTCCTTGTAAAGTCAACATGGTTTCGCCTATTTTGAGGGAATACTTTGGAACTATGGGACCGAGATCGAAGTCGTTATTTTTGTTCTTGTTATAAGAATAGAAATATAACAATTTTTTTAAAAAAAGTTACACTAAATCTTATGTTGATAGTTATTGTATTTTCTAATATAGGTAGATTGTTTTAATAATATATCGTTTTTGAGTTATTTTTAGAATAAATGTGATCAAAAGTCTTGTAGACAGGAACGGGTTCGATTCAATTCTATTTAATATATATATTTAATTTAACTTTAATTAGTTTTAGTTTTATTTTAATGATAATTATTTTAGTATTAAAGTTTTAATGGCAATATCAAAAATATCATTGATACGGTTTATATTTATATTTAGTTATTTTTCTAAGCTTAAATCAGTTTATATCATCATTTAAATTACATTTTATTTTATTTCATTTTCGTTTTGCGTAACTTATAATGATTGATTATCTACTTATTATTTTTATATCAATTAATTGAGATATATGAAAGCATGTTTTAGATTATATATTTTTTGAACTATGATTTAATAAAATTGTAGTTATATATTTAAAATCTGACTTGATGACAATTATAGAATGTGTTAAATACATTATTTATTAAAGATGAATCTGTTCTCTAATCATCACCACCAAATTCTCTCTTTAATTAGAAGGTGTCAGAGTATATTTTAATCGAAAGTTTCAACCCAAATTAACGAGAGTTCAGACTTTAAAGGAATAAGCACATTTTAATATATACCTCATTGGTGGCAGTGGACGAAGTAAATGATTTGGTTCGCACCAGCCTTCTCCCGTTGTTATTGTTGTTATTGGAAGAGACGGATGAAGAACTATGGGAACACATAACTTTCCGATCGCGTTTGTGGTTGCCTTGGTAGAAAAAATTTGGCGTGTGGTTATAATTATGGTTTAAGAACCGGTTATCGTGGTAAAAACTCTCAAAATTATTATTAATATTGCCATTATGATTAATGTGACTATTGAATTTATGGTGGATTGGATGAGCGTGGTAAAAATGGGAGGCGTGAATATGGTTGTCGCCTTCTTCGAAATAATTGAGCCCGTTTCTGGTATTGTTGTTAGATTGGTGATACATGGAAGAGCACATTCTATCTACGTCCGCTCGCACCCTAGTTGAATTAGCTACTAGGTTGCCACCCAGTCCAGTCGACGAAAATGAACAGTGAGGAAGTTTGTGTTGTTGATTATGGTTGCTAGGGTGGTGATGGTTAAAATTGTAAAGGTTCTGGGGTGAGCTGTAGGGTGGGGTAATGTAATCGGGACGAATATCTAAACTCTGGTAATAAACGTACTCGCGTTTTTTGTCGGCGCCACCTAGTTTTGTGTCGGATTTGATTTGATCACGGATTTCTAGGCAGGTGTTCGTTTTGCTGAGGCTAATTACAAAAATGGTGAATTTTTTTTCAAAGAGAATAAAAATTATATTTATATAAATGGTCGAAATTTTAGCTAAGATTATTTAATTAAAACTCTTATGGCGCACTTATTTTACGTTCCACTTAAAACGGTTTATAAAAATGCAGTTATAAGATAAAAATTCTTAAACTTACGAGTTTTCGTAATTATTAAATCTTTTAATTAAAAATTCCATAAGGCTCTAATTTATTATAATTTTAGTATATGCAAGGTTAGAAATGCAAAAACCTTTTTATAATGTTTGTACAAAATATATAGAATGCGTTTTAAACGCAACGTGAAAAAGTTAACCAAGACGGCCTCTTATTCCTAAATTCTTTTCTGTTTGCCAACTAACTCTTTATTATTTCTCTTATTCATCCAAGTATCATGACAATCTCATGCTAGATTTTATTTACTTATCATAAGCCCTGGGATGGTTATGATTCATCTTGTCGTCGCTATATTGATTCGCACTATTATTTGCGAATAATCGACAAGTCTGACATCGCCAATCAATTTTCTTACCCTCCCTGAATTCAAAAAATCGACGTCTTGCGGTAGCTTCCAGCAGAGTATCGTCTAGAGAATATTTCGGACTTTCGCCGTTATGCCATCTATTGGCATACTGATGGGTGTTATTGGCATCCTCACAACATAAAAATGGAGAATGGGGTCCAAATGAATGGAAATGACATAGCGAGCAATGATGTGCCGAACTTAAAAAGTGCGATGCTGGGTAAGGCTTGCTATTGTAATGTTGTTTTGGGGTTTCTTTTTCGTTTTTAGATGAAGTGGTGGTGTCTAAAAATTCCTTTTTATTCGCGTTATATAATAATATAACTATAAAAATTAATGCATCATACCATTTATCATTTTAATACTTTATATATATTTTTTAAGCATGGAAATATTTTATTTTTTTTAACAAGATCTCCCGTAATAAGTCCATTTTTGTACTTTATAAAAAAAAAGAGATCAAACTTACAGCTTTAAAATTAGTTGCCATAATCATCTTTTGGACAGAAAGAATAGATGATTTCCCCGAATCAATTTTATTCCTAGTAATCAAGGATGGTTGTGATTCTTGGCAAATTACCATTTCAACAAAAAAGAAATTTGTTACCAAATATAAATCCGAACTCAAATATTTATTTCTTGATTTAATATAAAAAGAAATTTAGTGAATCAGGTTGAATAAGAATAGTTTTCTTCTTCCGAAATATTGAATTCGTTTTAAAATACAATAATGAAGATGATCAATGAAGATGTCTGAAAGCGAATTTTTATAAAAGATTTGAAAAATTTTGAAGAAAAAAAAAATGAATTAAATTTTAAGGGAATATACATAAATGAAAACCATGCTTTTAAAATTACATTAAATTTACAATATTAAATTACATTAATAATTACATTAAATTTACAATATTAAATTACATTAATAATTACATTTAACATTTGAAATATATTAACAAAATATGGGTCGAAAATTAAAAGACATAAGTAAAATTAGAAAGCATAAAAAGGGAAGGGGAAAATAATATTAATGAAATTTAGACTAGTATTTTTTGTTATTTATTTTATTCGAGACATTTCTAGAATGTATTTAAATTTAAAATTGTAAATGATTAAAATAATTTAATTTTTTTAGTGAAATGTAGAGGTTTTTTGGAGATAGGTTTTTAAGGGAAGGGTAGAGGGTATGTCATCAGAGTTCAGATAGAAATTTAATGATCCCGATGTTAATATTTTTGAGATATTTTTTTAAATTTTTTTATAATTGTTAATCTTAAGTAATTAATATTGTATACAACAATTTTTACCTATTGAACTATAGTTTTTTCAGATTTATTTATTTATGGATGGAAGGAGGTGGTGGGGAGGAGGTGAAATATATTATTCAGTGTGATCAGTATAATATGCCTGATGCACAAGCACGTAAGTTTAAGTTCGAACTTGGCCTTCTCTCTATATATGAATATGAACATACTAATTGGAAGGACATATAATTTCTTATTAAATGTCTAGAATATTTAAACAAAATAAACCATAAAATTAACGTGTTATTCTTATTGTTAACAAATATATCTAACCTAACCACTATTAAGATGGGTTTTTTTTAAAAAAATTAACAAATTATATTTATAATAATATTGTTAGAAGGAGCAAAAAATGTACTAAATAGGCAACTGCTTACGTGTTCCATAAATCTTTTAGTTATACAGCATTATGTGTCATTCTAAACTTAAAATACTATATAAAACCTTAAATGACCAATGAATTTATTAATTATCATTTTCAATGAACATTTTTTAAACTTAGCTTACATATATTTAAACTTTTTTTTAATAGAGAAGGAAAGAAAATAACGTGAATAACGTCATACATTCATTACTTTTGTCGGCGAAGAATTTCGGCGTATTGTCTCCTTGATCAAAATCTTAGCATTCCTAAAAGAAAAAATTCGGTATTTTTTAAAAAAAGCCCTACTAAAAAAATCGTTTTAAAATTATTTGATTGAATCAATTTTAAAAAAATATATTTTACGCTATAGATCCTTCCTCTGGGCCGCATATGGTCACTTCCCTCTCATTATTTTGAAAGTCTGCATTATTTTTTATTAAATACAAATAATTAAATTAAATTTTTTATTCTTTCTTTCTTTCTTTCTTTCTTTCTTTCTTTCTTTCTTTCTTTCTTTCTTTCTTTTCTTTCTCACCTTCTTTCTTTAAATTGGTTATAAAAAAATTAATACCTTTTTGGAAAGATATTATTGTGTTGCTAATTTCTTCGATTTGATGAATCCTCTTGCCTTTAACACCCATCACTATTTTAAAAAAAAATTTTTTAATATACTTTTCAAATTAATTCGTATAAATTTGTTGATACCTCGACCAGCGTCCGTGGCTTTAATGTAAATTTGATCTTTAAGAGCATATTTGTTTATATTAGCCGTCGACGTGATGTTTAGCGTATCATCGGAAGTTATCCTTCAAATGTTGTCGTTTAAAATATTTAAAATAAAATTCAATAAAACTACCCAAATCCAATCAAAAACTGTCATTTAAAAACATTTTTTTGTGGATTTTGAATTTAAGCTCCATCTTACTGAATCACGTATTCTCCTGTGAAATATAGCTCATAATTTCTCTATACACTTCCCAGTTTTTCATGTAACTCAAGATTATTACAATTTTTGATTTATACATTTTTTTTTCTTTCTTGATTCAAAATTATTCTAATTACTCTATTCTATCTTTCGACATTCATCATTAAATATCAATTGATTCCTATTCGAAAATCCAATATGTTTAAATCTATAGTTATATTTATTATACATTTTTTTTTATTGTATCTCTGAATTCATATAGGATTATTTCTAAAAATTTCACATAGTTATATTATGTACCCAACCTATATTTTAAATATTTAGTACCCTGATAAACCAAAAGCTTTTTCTAACTTATTTATATAAAAATAGATAGCTTTATGTTATATTCACAAAGAAATCGGAATTTAAATGCTTTGTTTATCATTATATAAAGAACAATTTAATATTAAAATAGAAAAGTAATACTTAACCATTGGTTAATTGGTCAATATAAATGACTATTATTCCTTTTTATATATAATATTTAAAATATCTGTATAATATAGTAAACTTTTAAAACTTATTAATAGCAAAAATGTTATATATAGGATCTGAATCAAGACAACTATCATATCGGGTTCAGGTTCTGGCTCAGAAAAAAGTAAGCATTCAGGTTTGGTTTGGATAAGTCTATGAATATATTCTATATCTTTATACTTCTTACTAATAAATTGTTCAAATATAATAGTAATTGATCATTGAACATCGAATATAAAAATGACTATGACTTCATTAAAATGATCCGGTTAAATAACTATTATAGGTAAAATAACCCAATAGATAAGTTAGAGTGAGGGAGGAGTCAACCCCAATAGCTAATTTGTCCTCGGTGAATAAATTCTATTTTTATATGACATACATTTATAATAACCTATAAACAGAATACTCTAGAATGAATAGATATAAATTAGTATTAAAATTGACATATTTGCGGAAGAGGGTCGCAGGTCCATGAAAGATGGGTCTGAGGGGCGACCTTATTAAACACGTCCCACGAGACCTTTTCCTTGCCACTCCACCCTTGATAAATTACATCCGACCACCCCCTCCCCTTAAGATTCTAGTGAAATTATTGAATCATAACTACTTAATAGAGTACATCAGTAAATGTAGGCCAAGTCAAGGAACGATAATAAAATCCTTCTAGCATATATTTCATATTAATCCATATATAAAATAACCTTTTAATTGATTATTAAAGAAGTAAGAGCAACTTATCAAAAATTTTTGGATAGATCTATAGATATCACATATCACATACTTAAACCGATCATTAAGGCAAAAAAATTTCCTAGAAACAATAATAGTTTGATCTATTTTTATAAACTGTAATAGGAAAATAGCGAGAAACACATACTTTTTTATTGATAAAATTCTCCGGCCATCGAATCTCTATATTAATCACATCTAATTGACCAATTTTTTTGCATTCTTAATTATTGCCTTAAATATTAGTCTATCTATGTATAAAAAAATTCTTAAAATATTCGTTATTTTTCTTCTATAATTCAACCTTTGGTCCTTTTCGCAGTCCCCCTGTTCCTCTGAAGAGCCTAATTTAACGATATCTATGTCCTTATCGGTCACTTTGTCTTCGGGGACAAAATCCTTCTTTAATACACCATCAAGATCATCCAAACCCACGAGAGATATCTTATTATTCAATGATAATAAAATATCATAGTCGTGAATGGCCACCATCTCTACTTCGTTAGAGAAAGAAACACTTTTACATAACGCGCCATTTTCTTTCTCGGTGCCGAGTAGTTGTTGGTCCTTCTTATCCTTCATTTTCTCAACAACATCATTTTCCAGAACTTTGTTATGTTCTTGAATCTTTGAAAAGGTACTCGAATCGATATTATCAAGATTTATTAGTTGATTGTGTTCGTTTTCGTTCTCTTTGGAATTCTTGCAGGTTGTAATTTTAAGTTTAGGCTATAGGATATTAATATTATTAATATTTTTTTAATAGGCTTATTTATGATTGTATTTTATAAAAAAAATTGATGATATTTATAATATTCGTTTTCTTTCTTTATTATCTAATCTATCAATTAAAATTACAGTAAGCTGACTTTGGAACTTGACTAGTCCCATCATGGTATGCTTATACTGTATATTTTGATAAAACTATTTTTAAACATTGTAATTATCAGTTTGTTTTACCCTATTTTCTATATTAACTTACAGTTTTTTAAAAAAAAAAATCATGTAAAATTTATACATAATTTTTTTAAATAACTACTTGAGTTGGAGGAAAATATTATTATACTGAAATATTTCACGAAAAATTAATTCATCAAATAAGCTCTTAAAATAAAACATGATTACACTATATTAGTTAAATTAGATGAATTATTATATTATATTAGATGATAAAATATAATATAAGGTTTTTTTTTAAAAAAATCATATATTAGTTCATTTCTATTATCTCCTCTTGGGAAAGTGGAAGGGGGGGGGGGGGGTGTTTAACTTGAAACTCAAAACTGTTTTCATCTTTTTTTAAGGCGAGGATTATAAATAATTGCACCGTAAAAAAAATAAGTAAATAAATCACTTCATTAATTTTCGCGACTTTCTCAACCGGACTCGAAGACTTTTCTTCATCGGCAATTTCGGTACCATTCGATTGCAACTTCCAGGCAGTGGCCCTGTACTCTAATAGTTCTAGCAATTTGAGTCGCAATTCTGAGTTGACGGTGTCTTGCTTTACTATATTTCTAATCTTGCAAAATAGTCCGTTCATCTTATCTTTTTTCCCAAAATAAAATAGAGTATATGCTATAGATAATACACATTTTAGAAGGGTGGGATAAGTTAAAACATTCATTCATGTATAGTAATTCAATTATTATAGTTAGGTTTATCTCCGTTTTAGGTTAAAATTGATTTATGATTAGCATTCTTATATTTTTGTACCTTCATCTAATTCAATTCGAAGCAAATCCATAAAAATTTATTTTTAAATAACATATATCCCCTTTTTTTATCAAGTCATTAATATTTATGTTAATGAAATGATATATAAAAAAGTGTTTATTTATGGTTAATATATCAATGCCAAAACAGATGAAAAAAAGTCACGGATGATCAGGTAGGGTCTATGCAAACCCCAAGCTCCAAAAACACCATATAACTCATGAACTACTGAATATAATCAAAATTAATTTACATAAACTTTACTTAAAAATAATAAGCAATTAAAAGATTCGGACAAAATATGTAAATTTTTTTTAACAATTTTAAAATGACTGAGGTCTGCATAGTTCAACCTGTGCAACGAAGGGTTAAAGCTGGTATATAAAAATTAGAGAGAGCATCAGCTTCTGAAGTTATAGCAACAAATATTTTAAGATATGTATCTTCTAATATCATAAAATAAAATCAGATCAGATCAGCTAAGGAAAATACCGGTTCTGTGAATGGGGGTCTAATTTAACATCGATTCCGATATAAACAAAAGTATAATTTGATTTTAAATATAATGCATATATTTATCCTTCAAAATGGAAAGTATTTTCTTGTGTGGAAAGTATTTTCCTGCCCAATAGTTAAACCAAACACTAAAAAAATTAACATACAACACTTAGACTGTGCCCTGATTCGACTTATTTCCAAACAGCCGTTATATCGTTCCGACTAAATAGTTTAAAAAACATATTATGGAGGGGGTGGAGGCAGTCCAGCCCGTATATATTTTTGAAAGGATACTTTCTATATTTTATTTGTAAATTTAATGTATTTTGATTAAAAAAAGAGGTGTATAAACAGGGATGGACTGGCCATAAGACCAGGTGGGCATTTTGCCCACGAGGCCGCGAGAAAATGTCATTTTTGAGGCCGATCAGAGGAAAATATCAAAAAAGAGGCCGATTAGAAAAAATATATATTATGTTCACATTATTTTCTCTTATCATTTATTTATTTTTAATGATATCTCTATGATTTGAATATCACATTCCTTGAGAATTGTCATGTCGTTTACTATATTTTAATGCATAAAATATCAATAACATCGCTTGACGCTATACATCATTACCATGTTCTTAACTTTGTTTTTTTTTCAAATGAAGTGAAAACGCTTCCATTTGAGTAGAGTGAAAGCTAAGTTTTGATTAGTTTATTATATTATATTTTTATATATTGATTTATTGTAGAAATAATATAGCCAACATTTCTTGTTCTTAATTAATTGAAATTAAATAAAATCCAGGTCGGTGAATCAGATAACAGATGCTTGGGTGAAACAGAATAATTCATCTGGTCAAAATAAGCTGAGAAGGCTGCAAAAAATAGGTGAGATAAGGTGATGGACACGTGAAAAAACCCTTAGATGGATATATGGTAAAGAGAGCTTACTCCCAATAACGATAAATGCACTTCAATTTTTATAATAGATAATAAATCATTTGAGACAAAAACTTGATAATTTATGTAAAGACTCTAGGTACAGCTATAATATATTTTGAAAATTTTGAAATAATAAGGCTACTGTCATATCTTCAAACTAAAAAATTAGGTACTTTGTCAGCATGGAAAATGATAGAAGATGGTAAATCTCTGTATCATCCATTCAAAATAAAGCAATGAAATGGCTTCTAATTTAAATGAAACACTTTCATATTTAAAGCTCTCGAAGAGTATCAGGGTACAGAATGCTCTGCCAAAAAATCGAATAGGACGAGCGAATAGAATATATAGTGATAAATGCCAAGATGAACGTTCCCAAGAATCGATTGACCTTTATAGGTTCGATTTCGTCCTATAATTGATCAAATTATAAACAGCTTGTTGGAACGGATTTCTGAGAATTGAGAGCTTATAATGTCCAATATTTGCATCCAAGGCATTTTGATGAAATAAATAGTAAAGGTATTTCTGAAAAGGCCTTGGAAAAACTGGCATGATTGCCATATATATTGAGTGTTAAATTACGTAACGAATTATGTTCATTTGCCAGTGTATTCCAAGATTTGGTAGCAGAATTAAATGAAACGGTCGATGATATCGTATGTACAAGTGAGGAGTCAAATGAAGAAGATGGAATATTACAATATGATAATAACTCAGAGTGTGATAATAACTGTAACAAGTGTTTAATATGCGTGTATGAAATTCTTAAAAGATACAATATGCACAGACACAAGTGCATTCACTAATTTTTGGCATATGAATACATTTTAACTTTGTCATTTACGCAGGTTAATTGCGAGAAAGCATTTAGTAAATTAAACATTATAAAAATAGGCTGAAAGCTAATATTGACCAAGAAAAATTATAAGCGTTTTTAATGATGTCAGTTGAACTAGAACTATTAGCGCAGATCGAAAACTAGAAGATTTTCTTGTATATTTGCGCAAATATTCAAAGTTAATGAGAGATTTATTAACGTAAAAATTATATATATTCTTAATTCATTTATTTGAATCTTATTAATATCTATTTACAATATGATCGGTGCCCGATTTTATAAGTGCAGAAATTTTATTCTCTGTAATTAACTGCAATAATTTTATATGTGTAATTAATTGATTTGATATATTGAGTATGTATTTTTTTATATTTAACATGTGATGTATGATTTGATTTTATAGTGCAATATCGTTGTAAATCTAATATAAAATTTGTATGTCCAATGAATATAGGTGCATTTTTTTAAAATATAATATATGATTATAGTATATATTTTCTGTAAATCGTTGGAACTTATTTTCAAAAATAAGAAGTAATAAAAATCATGTAAATCGACAAAGCCATTTAAGGGAACCCGGTCGAAGACCGGGCAAAAATAGGGGTATGAGGGCGAAGCCCCCATATTAATGAGGCCGCTATAAAAAATGCCCGCGAGGCCGTAGCGTCACCAGTCCGCCCCTGTGTATAAATATACATATATATCAGAGACCTGCAGAGGCACTATTTGCACGGCCCGGCCCGGATATTTAAAAAAAAATTTTTACGGCCCGGCCATATTTTTTAAAAGAAAATTTTACGGCCCGGCCCGGATTTAAAAATTTAAGGCCCGGCCCGGATATTTTTTAAAATTATATTCGACCTTGGTATATACAAAATTCACCTATGAGGTATTTTACCATATTTTTCAGCGAGTATTATCGCTTATTATTTAAAAAATACATGTAAAAAGCTAATATTTTGAGAATATTATATTGAACTTATAAAAATTATAAAACATTTATAAAAATGGATATTTTGAGCATATACTATATTTTATATTGCATTTATAAAAATAAAACTAATATTCATAAAAATGGTAATAATATTTTGAGCATATACTATATTTTATATTGCATTAAAAAAAATAAAACTAATATTTAATTTATAAAAAAAGGAAAATATTTTGAGAATATAATATATTGTATTTAATTTACTATTTAATTTATAAAATAAAAATAAATCGCTATTTAAAAAAATGCATGTATAATAAATAGTATTTTGAAAATATAATCTAATTGCACAATATTAATATAATTTATTTTATAATATAAATTTTTAACAAAAGAAGATAATTGTATTATATAATATTGTAAAAAAAAATAATGAAAAATGTTGGATTAAAAACTTTCATGACTCAAGGTAAATATAATAAATGCAATAAATATTTGACAGTTTGCAAAGTAAAAAACCAGCATGATTGACAAAACCCTACACTCAAGAAAGATATTAAAAATTCACAAATTTTCATGAAGAAAGAGAAGCATATCTACCTTTTCAGGTTGAAGATTACTTCTTCTTTCTTCAAGAATTCTCCCAGTAGTGGAAAAATTCGGCTCACAGCTTGCACTTGAAGCAGGAATTGCCAATACCCGTTTTGCCAATTTTGCTAAAATTGGAAATTCGCTTTGATGAGCCGCCCACCACTCTAACAAATTATCCACCTTAAATGTTTCATCTATTTTTTTATTTTTTTATTTATGTAATTATAATATTCATCATCGGGTATTGACATATTACCAGATTTACCATCGCCCCATTTGTCATAAAACGATTCAGTTTGTTTAGCAACAGTCGTAATTTGACTGGTCTATGGTATTTCATTTACTTCCTGAGCCTCTTGTAATTTAATATAATCTTTTATATAGTTTTCCGTCATCTTGCGATCTGTCCCTGACAACATACGTAATTGCTTGAATTTGGGACAGAGAAAAAGAGAAATAAAATAATACTTGTGTAAAACAAATTTTTCAATTAAAAAATGCTTTATATTAAGTAAAATCAATTTTATTTCTCCTTTTTCGCTTTGAAAGGTATTACAAACTTCAAGAAGTGATATTCCTTTATTTGATTGTTTTGGTAAAATATATTCTAAAAATTTAGATATGAATTATAAAAAAATATATTAATAATACTTGAATATTGGGGCTTATTTAAGATATTCCTTTATTTGATTGTTTTGGTAAAATATGTTGTAAAATTTAGATATGAATTATAAAAAAATATATTAATACTTTGAATAAATTTGCAGGAAATTAATAATTAGATCGATCTGTGGGTGTTAGGTAGTGTTAACTATCACCCAATATTATATTAATCATAACTATAATATAATATAATCTTATAAGCATTAACTCATAATGTAAAAATTTTTATAAAAAATATTAAGGCCCGGCCCGGCCCGGGTTTAACAATCTTAAGATATATTTAAAAAAAAATTTTTTAGGCCCGGCCCGGGTATATTTAAAAAATTTAAAATACGGCCCGGGCCGGGTTTAGGGCCGGGCCTGCAGGTCTCTGATATATATATTAAAATATACAATGTCTGTGAATCTGAGATTGTAAGTAATATGTGAGTTATGATATATGATGCAATTGTACTCATAGTATGTAACTTTTTCCTTGATTATAATTTTGCATTCATTCAATTAATAATTTAAAGGTTGAAATAATGTTCTGAGAAGTAAGAAATAGAATGAAAAATATTTTAAAAAATGCTAAAATACATGGGCAATCTTTGGAGTTAATTACAAATATTTAATTTCTATTTAATAAATAAGACGAAGATTTATTCTTATAAAATAGTAATTTATTTTAAAAAATGGTTCTTAAGTTATTATTTTAAAATAAATTTAGAAAGATTAATAATATATTAAAATATTTTAACAATCTTTATCTAATCAATTATTTGTATATAAATTTTATTAATATCTTTTTAGGCCCTGTAAGCCCGCATAGATGAATATTCTTTCAAAAGCAAGTAATAGGTAAAATTTATAATAACTCCGCTACGCGATGAAAGGAAATGCATCCGCTATAGATTATAAATTTTACCTATTATTTGCTTGCTGTTGACAACTACCTAGCGATGCGAGCTTACAATAAATGAGGCCTTCGTTTATAACTAAAAATAATATTGAAAATGATTTTATATTGTATTATTCGATAAAAAAAATGTTAACGCAAAATGGTGCTAAGCTTCTATAAAATGTAAAACATTTTTAAAAATAGGGACCAGATAAAATTAATATTCTGAGTAGTAAGCCAGTATTGCTGACCTTTAAGGATTAATTGAATATCGATATTATAAATTTTCTTTACTACACGAGGGAAAAAAGTTAAAAAATTTAAACAACTAAGTTTTGAACCGGATACAAAGTTTTGGGTTTTAGTACCAGTATTGCAAATCCTTTGTCCCAATCCTTTTTTTTACAACACAAGGAAAAATGAAAATTTACAAAACAACTCAGTTCTGAACTTGATTACAAGTATTGGATCAGACATATACAAAACCTTTGGGACTAGTTATAGTGTCATGCCAGTTTTCATTAATCCACGAGGAAAAAAGTAAAAATATTTAAATAAACGTATAAAAATGACTGTAAAATTAATGGCAAAGTGAAAAAACGATATAAGTACAATTGTGATAAAGTATCCTTTTTTAAAAAAAAAAGTAAATTGCACTTATTCACTTGTATGAGATCTTGATATAATTTATAAGTCTAAGTAAAAATAGAATTATAAAACAAATAATATTTTATATATATATTATAAACTTTTATATCTGCATTCCAAAATCGGACCTTTACGCCTGATAGAGTCAAACAAGGCGTCTGTATCAACTAAAATATCTTTCCCGTTGGTTACTTGCTTGTTCGGGGTATTATTTTTTGTCATTGAATTGGTAATCGAATTATTCGTGTTATCTCGTTTGCTAACATTATCATTGTTGATGTTATGATAGCTAGAGAAAGTCTTAATAGCGGTAACGTTGACTAAATCACTTAAGCGATTTAACAGTTGTTCATCTTGCGAGGCTTATAAAGTTTAAAAAAGGGAAAAGGGTGCATTATAAAAAGTGATTGATTGATGATTGATTTGATAATCAACGATTGACTGAGGTTTGTGAAGAGATTATGGGACCTGGATTTTATTATAATCTAATTTTAACGAATTATGTAGCATTTTTTGGGCTTACACATCAATTTTTTTATACTATAATAAGATCCCATTTATTGGTAAGTCAATTTTTAGCTACCTCTTCTTTTTTTAAAAGTAAAAAAAAATAACCATTATTTATTCTTCTAATCATTCATTCGTTATTATTGAAAATTTCCCATTTTAAGGCAGTAATCTTAAAATGGTTCCACTGATGGGGCAGGGCATCCTCCTCAATATCCGCCCCGAAAATAAAAATAATTTCTCGAAATAAGAAAAAGAAAACAATTATATATATATTTATATAAAATTTTTAAGTTAGTTTTTTTTATAAATGTGCATTTCGACCGACACTTAAAGATAGCGATTTAAAAAAAAAAATTTCCACTCATCTATCTTTTCTATAAACAAAAAAAGAGAGAAGAAGAATAGTGATATCTTATCTTTATCTCCTCAATTTCTATTAAAATGTTTCTAAAAAAACGGTATCATTTTAATTTCAAATTTATGCTTAAATAAAAATATAAAAATTGTTCTTTTATGGTAAAATAAAAATATAAACCATGACAAACTCTCCACGGAAGAATTATCTTATTTTTTAAAATATAATTAAGGCATTTTTGTTTTAACAAAACGGTTTTAAACCGGGTTGGGAAAATTATAATGATAAGGTTTTATTCCGGTTATAATGGTTCATTTTCCTCCTACCAATAATTTATGTTCTGAAATATAAATAATGTCAATGTAAATTGGGTTCGGTCAGTAAACGAAAAAGTACAACCATATAAAAAAAATTTCTATGAAAAATTAATTTTAAAAATATTTAAAAAAAAAATGAGGATTAATGAACATGTGTGAATTGTTTTATTAATTTTTTTTTAATAATTTTTAAGCTTTGAAATTAAAATTTAAAAATTTTTAAGTTTTAAATTAATATTTTATAGATATTAAAATTTTTATTAAAAAATTTAAACTTTTGTTTTTATTTATTAATATTTTAACAGTCATTAATAAATATAATAATGAGGATTATATTTTTTGAATTATAATTTATAAGGAATAAAATGGAATCATCAGACATTTTGAATTTGTACGATTATTTTCCCATTTTCAAGCATAGATTTTATTTTGGACCTAATCTTGATTTAAATTTTTAGGACTGTTATAAATATTTTGGCTGTATTAGGTCCATGGTTGCTGTTAATAAGAACTAATGAATGCTATTTATAATATGATTTTTTAACTGGTTAATTGTTATAATTTAATTATTTTTTTTAAAAATTGTAAATTTTTATTCATGTTTATGCCTGGAAGGAGTTTGTAATTATTTTTAGATCCGGCAGAGATTTCTAAAATAATATCGTTTTACTCCAGGACGTGCCTATATGTTTCTGAAAAATTACGGGATTTTGTAACCATTAATTTTTAGTAATTAAGAAGTCTCATTACTCATAAGTATCAATTATCTTATAACATCTAGGGGAGACCAGGGCAGGGATAATCGGCGCAAATGCTTGTCATTTCAGCCGATTTTATTTTAAATCCAGGAATGTTTAGAAGCTTAAATTCAATCATATAATAATCAGTCAGGGCTATGTTGATCCACAAATTTTTCATCGAACCGATCCGATATTTTTTGATATTACTAAAAAAGATCTCGATACCATTTACCATCTATCTTTGGACCAATATCATATAAATATCAACATTTTATATTTTTTAAAAAAACCAAAGGCTCAAATGAGACTAAACGTTTAGAAAACAGAATAATATCTAATACAGATGACATCATTGTGATCTCAAAAATATAAAAGAAAACAAAAATTTGCTCTACCTACTAGAGACCTTGAATCATAAAATTGGACTAGCAATAAACTTCAACAAAACAGTTATTCCTTCTACTCCAAACGAGCCGCCGCTCCAAAATTTTATGGTTGGAGCTGATGCAGTAAAAATAGTAGACAAAGTAAAGTATGAGGGTCACACTGGATAATAAAGGCAACTGCAAAGAAGAAATGAGAATTATAATTTAAGGAAATAACCAAACAGAAAATAGACGGCTCCAATCCTTTATCAATAATTGCCTCCGAATCCTAAATGGTATCTTCTCCCCAAAAATCATCTCAAACATCAATCTTTAATAAAAAAATTAAATCATACGCCTATAAACATAACATTTAAAAATACACCTAATTCAGTTCCTAGCCCACACAATAAGAAACTCTGATCACATACAAAGGGAAACAGTACAAAAAGTACAAATCACAACTATAAAGGAAGTGATGGAATTAAATATCGATATGAAACAATTTATAAAACTAAATAACTGTAATAAATCTATCAAAAAACTATTTCGTATCAAAGAGAGATACTTCAAATGAAAGCTTACAATCCAAAATTTTCGCTCAATCAAATAACATATAATATTACTATCAAATAATCTCTAGTAGATTTTAAAAACTAAAACGAATTATTATAAAGATAAGAAATTAGAATGAGGTGATATAAATTCTAAAACTAAAACGAATTATTATAAAGATAAGGAAATGAGGTGATATATTAAATTCTAAATTTTCACGGTATCAATTTCTTAATTTTTCATGGTTGGTAATCACCTTCCAAAATATAAAGTAATCAAGTAGAGTAAATCTCACAATTAATTTGTAATCAACCAGTACTCACAATAAAAAGATATTTTAAACTTAAAATTATCCACCTCCCACCTTAAATTAATATTATTATACTATAAGCTGTGGATCTGGCTCTTTTTATGCCCCACTCTTTTTTTTATTAAGCATATAAACGTTTAAGCAACATTTTTCGAAATGGTGCGAGTACAAGTAAGTGCGGCCTGCTCACAAACGTGTAGAGGGCTCCTCATATTTGTTCTTTTCACCCAAATTAAATTTGTTTCAATGGCTAATACTACAGATTTAAATAAATTTTATCTATATGATAATGCAATAGATTGAGAAAATTAAAATAGTTCTGCTATAATTTTTTTGCATTTTTTTTAAAATACAAAATTATGTTATATATTTTGTTACTTTTATATAAATCATTTAAATCCTATATGTAAATTGTAATATTATATCAATAAAACATGGTGCATTAAAATAAAGGGATCAAAGTATTTATTATCCTGTAGGAAGAGTAAATAAACCACTTTATTCTACAACCCCTAGATTGGGGCTTGTTGGGGCAAAAATTAACCGTTAGAATCAATTTTGACAAAAAATCATTAAATATTAAAAAATATCAATATATAGGTAAGTGTTTTTGACAAAATTAGCGCCGAATTTGGTCTCCCTTGCCCATCCCATAAGTGGGCCAACTAGATGCCATTTATGGTCATATTTAAGAAATTTGCCCCCTCCCATAGTCCGTTCTTGTTACTTTTAAAACAAAAAAAACATTTCTAACAAAATAATGATTATAATATATATTTTTACTTGTGTCATCGGAACTCAACATTCTGGTGGTAGTGATAGGGCTGGACCCAACTAGAAGCCTCCTTATAGGTTCGTGTATTCCATTGGCCCTGGTTCCATTGTTTAAAAATCTGGTATCTTTACCTATATATATTTTTTTTTAATTAAAAAAAATATATTATAAATAGAAAGGAATGACCATATCCATACATATAGATCCCTATAGTGTCGATATCCTCAATATAACTTTTATGATATTTGTGTATACTACATACACATTATTTAGCTATAATATGGAAACTTTTTATCAATTATTACTTTTTTTATCTATAAGATTATTTTTTATAGAAAAAATTGTGATTTTTATTAAATTGATTGATATATAAAAAGGTAACAAAATAATAAATATATATCTCATAAATAAACAAATTCGAATTCAAATCTCTTTTACCTTTTGAAATATTATTTGATGGGTTACTATTCTTTGCCGAACCATTGTGGCCATTTGAATTTTGCAATTCTCCAACTTTGGAAGGGTCATTATTTTTGTTAGATTTGCTGGTCGCTGATGAATGTTTTCCGTTGCATTGGACTTCAGAGTGAGTGAATGAGCTCGTTTCGTGATTATTAACGCCAGGTTTTAGTTGGCATTGCAGGTCGGTGGCCGATTTTTGATGACTCATTGCTTTGCGGGTTGAATCATTCTTATTTTTATACCGTTTTCAATAGCGTGGTTCATCGCTGAATGGGTGTTTCATGTCGGAGTAGGACGATGAAAGCATGATTTTCTACTCATTATTATATAAATTATTTATAATTTTACCTTTGTAATGTTTAACTCGCGTTACAATATGAGATGACATAGGTTAACGGTCCGGTCTGGTCTTATCTGTCTTAACCCGGGACAGGATCAACCAGTCTTTATTAATTTAATTCGTATAATTTTATACTAAATTTTTGTGGAAATTGACTTTAGTTCCTGTAATTCTTTTTTTTTAGTTTATTTCTGCAATACACTATGAAAACGAAAGTTTATCAAAAAAAAACATTTTACTTTAAAATTAAATATCTATAATATTTATTATATTAGTCATATTTGATTTGGTATTTTTAACAAAATAAAATACTTTTTTATTTAATAAACTGATAAAACAAGGATTAAATTAGGTTTAAACAAAAATAATTTTAAAAAAATTTAAAAATCGGGTTTTATTTAAATCATGGCCTGGACCAGTCTTTTAATCGAAGATCGTAGTCCTGTCCGATATGTATGAGATCGGTTTGGCGTAATGACCAAAGACTGGACCGTGATATTAATTATAAAATGCATGAATTGGGATTATTGTAAATATAAAGAAATAATTTTATTTAACCAAAACATTACAATAGATTCTTTTCTTCCATGGATTATTCATTAATAGATATTGGTGGTAAATATGAGAATATCTTTATTGACCTGTTGAATATTTATGGCCCATAAAAATTTTGAATTTAAAAAAAAAACACTAGGCAGGAAAATATAGCCCGAGCTGTGTGTGATATATAAATTTTTAAAAAAAGTCATTTTAACAACTCATTCCGGAGAGGTGTGGGGGTAAAGGGGAGGCAAATAAAAAATAATGCCCACCAGGCATAGGGGCCTACTTCATGAAGGCGGTATTTTTGTATAGAGATTTTTATCTCGAGAATCTCATTTTCTACAACTAATTATCACTTTTGCAAATTTTGTTTTCCACTATTCTGCATCGGCGTAGTATATAAAATTACGCCGCGAATTCGCGCTAACTTTGAATGCAGGCTAATTATAGTTTCTTATTTAATTTAGGGGTTAAATTAAATAATATCGTTTGTTCGCCATTACAATTAAAGGACAGGATTTTTTAAGTTACTAGCCATTTATAACTTACAACGGAAGCGTTTTCATTGGGTTCTCATGTTAAATTGACATTTATGAAACAATCTCCTAACAGAAAATCTACTCATGTTCAATATGAAATAAAAATGATTGATATTCTTTGAGAAGCCAAGAAGAATTGGGTATATGTTCAAAATATATAAATATAATTATAAAATAAAAAATTGGGTAAATAGGTAAAATAAAATGAGTAGACCTGCAAATTTCAAAATGTATGCTAAAAATAGGAATAATAAAAGATATTATGCACAGCCGTGCTGAGACTTTTGAGGGCACGGGGCTGAGGTGAATTCTGCACCCCTTTAAAACCCTCTAATATACCGAAACTTTAAAAAAAATCATAAAATAACGAACTAAGTTCGTCATATTTAGAATAGGATTCGTGAATAAGCAGCCTAGAATATGAATTAGATAATATGTATGCAATATAATATATATTATAATCAGGGTTGGGCAGTATCGCGGATATTTGTATCTAAGATACAAGATACAAAAATAAAATTATTTATTTGTTTATATAAGGGTCTAAAGAAGACTCAATAACATTGCCTCAACACATTCGTTGTTTGTGCCATACGATAAAATTGCCACAACAGATGTCGAATGAGCTATTAAGGATTCTCCTAACATTTCTAAAATTCAACATCCTGCAATAGCTAAATGTACTAAGCTATGGAATGCAAATAATAGGCCTAAAACTGCAGAACTTATCAAAGCAGTTTTAGGAAAACAATTAGGTACACCTTGTTGCACTAGATGAAATAGTTTGTATGATAGTCTTCATAGTTTATTAAAATTTAAAGGCGACCTTCCTAAATTATGTCAAAAATTAGAATTTCCTAAATTAAGAGATATTGAAATTCAATATTTAGAAGAATATTGCAATATAATGGCCCCATTGGCTATAGCGATTGACAAAATACAGAGTGAAATCAACTGCTATTATGGAGAATCAGCTCCAATTTTAAATGTCGTTAAAAAAAATTACAAATTTAATTCAAACCAATCTACAATTTTGCAAACCATTAGCTGTTGCCATAGAAAATTATTTAAATAAAAGATTTAAAAATATAAATGATTTTGATAACAATGTTAAAAATGCATTTTTGGCAACTATTTCTCATCCCTATTTTAAAAGTCGTTGGATTGATAGTGAAAAAGAAAAAAAATACCTTATAAGGATTTGTTATTACATGAAGTTTTAATTGTTTTTAAAAATAATATTGAAATTAATACTTCAACAAAATCTTCAATTGATGAAGTGATGATTACTTTTGCCTTAAAAGTACCACATCCAATTCTAATAATTCAAATGATATTGAAATAGAGGCCCTAAATTATATGAAAGATGACAGGCGGAGTATAAATATGTTAAATAGTTATAAATATATAAAAGAAATATTTATTAAATATAACACAATATTACCCTCCTCAGCCCCCTTTGAAGGATTATTTAACTTTGCTAATATGGTTAATGGACCAAATCGTCAAAGATTGAACGATAAATTATTTGAAAAATTAATAATATTAAAAAATAATGCTGATTTATTATTATTTACTAATTATATAATTATTAAAAGGAATATCGCATTATCTTTTATAATAAATTTGTTATTTTCTACAATTTATTTTAAATATTTTTTTATAAATTTATATTATAGATAAGAAATAAAGCTATATACATTTTGATTTTGACTATTTAAAGTTTTTTAAAAAAGTATCTTGTATCTTAGATACTTTTTTTTAAAAAAATACAAGTATCTTATATCTTATTGAAATTTTTCTAAAGTATCTAGTATCTTGTATCTTAAATACAAAATTTTATAAAGTATCTGTATCTGTATCCGAATACAATTTTCTGAAAATTTGCCCAACCCTGTAATAAAATACAAATAATTTGAGAGATAAATAACTGAATTCAAATAATATTAAGCATGATGTAATATTTACACCTTTTTAAAACCACAATTCATTTTTAAATAAATGAGAGAAGAAATAAAATTTGGTGGCCCCAAAAATTGTCCAATTTTGGCGGTCCAGGGCTGTGGGTTTTATTATTTTTTAAAATAATGATTTGCGGGTGAGTAGTGCAACCCCCCCCCCCCCCACCTACCTTTATAAATTTATTCCCCCTGTCCCAACTTTTCGAAAATATTTAAAAAATGCTTTTATATTACAATAAATTCGTCATTTACAACAATTTATATCTAAATTTATTATGTTGATATATAATATGCTGAATATTTTAAATATTCTAAAATTTTCTTATGAGTTTGTATAAAGGTCAGTAATTGCTAAGGGGTGGGGCATTGGGACTCAAACTCTTTAAAAACTTTGCAGTTCCTTGAAAAAATTTTTTTTATAGATATATAATCCATTTTTGCACATTTTGGGTATTATTTTTTTTTGTAATGTTTAAATTATAATTTCTCTTTTTTTTGAGTATTTTAGATAGAATACCTCTTTTATCATAAAAAATAAGCCTCATCAAGTTAAAAAGCTAACGACGTCACAATGCAATTCTTGGCCTAATAAAAACTAAAAGATCCAAAATAATTTTAAAAAATTGCCATCCTCCCTTCCTCAAGTATAAAGTTTTGGTTACGGGCACATCCTCCCTATGACGCATGCGTCGTTATTTTAGCGTTCCAAAAAAAATATTAACAAAATGGCTGTATTTTTCAGCAAATCAGCTGATTCTATTTTTTTTTAAAAAATATAATAATTTATTTTGTGAATTTCTTAATATATTTTTTTTTCCCTCCTTTCCTTGAAAATAGATTTCGTTATGCAAATCTTATACAATATAATACTTTTTTTATTATTACTAAAAGTTTTAAAAGTCTCTTTTTTTTCTTTCATTATTTTTATCCTTTTTTTTTACTTTTGTGTTATAACTGTCGGCAATGATTTCAAAATAAAATTAAAAATTACCTATAATTTTATTTTTCTCTTATTTTTCCTTATAAAATTTTTGAGGATTTTTTTAATAAAGTATAATTCATTAACTCTTCTCTTATTTTATATTTTTTCAAAATATGATTTTTAATTTATTAGATTATTGTGATTAATGAATAATTCATTTATTTGATTATATATATATAAAAAGAAATCGTTATTTAAATGTTATAACACTCATTATTAAAAAAATCTAATTCAAAAGAGTTTTAAGGGTGTGCCTGGTTTTCGACTTAAGCTTTAAACTAGGACACCCTATTTATGGTTTATTTGAAATATTTGGCAGCATTTCTATTACTTTTTAGGCTGTTTAGTCGAAGTTAAATAGCAGGCTAAACAGCCGTCGTAATAAATCGTACTAGGACACATACTAAAATGGGTTAATCAGGTTTTCTATTTATTCCGCTTTAAGGCAGGTTATGATATATCGCATTGAACGCTATTAAAATTTTTTATTAAAATATTGGCTAGCGTCGTTATACAAAAAAAAATTTGTTTTCGAGTGACGTTGATTGAGTCAGCGCCCATCTTGTTTTTTTTATTTTCAAAATTCTGACAGCTGTCTAAATAGAAAGCCATTTATAGACTTACCAATTTCCCAGTTATAAAATTATTTTGGTGAAATACTAATATGCTTCTAGTTTCTAGTATCAAGGAAAGCCTAAAATTTCGGAGAAAGGGAAAAAATGGGTATTTAAATCTGAATGTTTTATTCTTGATAGATATAATATTACTAGCAGGTTACAATAATTAATTTAATTAATTATCCTATAGCAAGTAAATTAACTGTTCTCGTTCTTATTTAATATAGGGGATTCAAATTTATATTAAGAAAATATATGAATTGAAATTCCTTAAATTTATTAAATTTATTTACATTCCTTTATTTCTTTTCTTTTTTTCCTTTCTTTCATTTTTACCTTCTTTCTTTCTTTGCCTCAAAAAAATTTATTATTTTTATACTTGAAATAGATAGTTGAAACTCCTTTTAGGATTTAATTCGTTGGAATTTAATAATTCGTAAATAAATATTATGGCATAGTTTTTCGTAAAGAAATTTAAATTTTTATATAAATTTAAAATGTAATCAATTAATTTTTCGTATAATAAAATAAAAAATTCGCAATGTTTTTTTATTTGATTTTGTCTAAATCATTCAAATTTTTTTTTAAACAAAGTATAAAATTTTAAAATGAATTGTAATTTTTGAAAAATGAAAAAAAAATATTATCGAAAAATTAGGTCTATATTTAATAATAATTGATAATAAAATAAAAATATTACATTTTTTTATATATTTGTTTTTAATTTTCTCTTTATTTTTTTTTTAAAAAAGATGAAATAGAAAAACAGACACAACAGGCGTAAAATAGAATCAAAATTTAAGAAATTTTTTAAACAAAATTTAAATCCATTTAATTTCACTGATTTATTCCGTTTTTTTTAAACGAAAATTTTTTAAATCCTTGAATCGCACGTGCTATCGGTTTTTCTAAATTGCAATGTTTTTTTTTAAAAAATGTGTTTAGTTTTTTTTTGTATATGGAGCTGGTGGATTTTTGTACTACAGATTAAATCTGGGAAACTCGGCCCGTCCAAAAACTCGGTCCGCGGTTGACAGGAAACTGTTTTTAAAAATGTCGGGTGGGGCTCGCATATAAAAAATTTTTGGGTCGGGCTGGACAATTTCCCCCGGACATTAAAATTTAAATATATTTTATTAATTAATGGTGCTTGATATCTGTATCATGCATTTGTAATTGGATCATATCACAAATAATTTATAAAATTTATTTATGAATTAACTATATTATTTACAGATAGTATAATTCAGCTCTTAAAATACAAAGAAATTTATTAATTTCTTTCCAAATATTAGCTTGAAATTAGCAATAGAGGAGAGGCCTTAATTGACTTTGGAAAAAATATAGTTATTAAAGATATGACTGCCGGAAAATTCGTATAAAAAAGCTGGTCCGAACTTTTCGTAAAACTTTAACGGCGCAGGCCTGAGGACTATTCGTAAAATTCTCACAAGTTAGGCGGGGCAAATTTATAAAAAAGTTATAACCACATTTATATTAACATAGACTGCTCAACTCCCAATTTTATAATGTTATGAAAACATCATTAATTTGGAAGCCATTTGCAAAGGAACAATTTATCTTAATGATTTTGACGTTAAATATTTCATATATTTATGAAATTTTTTTATTTTTTAATTAAATCGTATATAAATCAATGACATATATAATACCTAGACTGACGATTCATTCATTAAAATGCATTTTTAAGCCTCGTTAAAAGCAAATCAGCTGGACCCGCCATTCTGGTAACCCATATGATAATTATTCTCATGTTAAAAACTACTATTAAATTGGTAACTTACTTCTTTAATTATCTCGGTAATCAGGCAATTCTTTACTAAAATTTGCATCAGATATAGGAATAAATTAGGCCCTCGTTTAAAATTTTAATAATGATTACTGTAAGCAAGATAACTCAGCTGATTTTGTTCACCTTTAATGAATGAATCGTCATTCTAGGTTTATTATGTCATTGATATAAATATAAATTTCTGGATATAACATTTTTCAGAAAGATATAATATGAAAATAATTTATTTTTTAAAAATTCATATTTTAATGAATGTAGAAAATTAAATATATAATATATTTATATTAAGCAATTTTAATATAATATAATAAGAAATAAATAAATAAAAATAAAATAACAAATAAAATAACAAATAAAATAACAAATAAATTTTCGCAAGATAGAGGATTTTAAAAATTTGATTTATATAACAAAAATAGCGGTTTAATTTACAACAGAATATGAATATATATTTTATAATATAAAATGACATAAATTTAAAATTCATGTATAAGTTTTTTTTGTTCCGCAAAAATAGGCATGTATCTTTTCCATATGTATAAGCATTTATTTATATATTTTGTTTTTTTACTAATAATAATTACACTCTTAAGTTAAATCTAAATTATAATATATGGGTAAAAATATATTCTATATTTTTAATTAATATCATTTTTTACTATTTTTTAATTTACTCATATAATGTTAATATCTCTGACTTTTTTTCTATTATTTTTATTCCTGATAACTATATTATTATATAGAATAGGATATGGCTTTGAATCAATATAATAATTTTTTTTAAATTTATTTAGGTTTCCAATTTACAATAAAGTTCTGAGAATTTTTTTTTAAACCAAACAAATACATATGTCTCTGCATTGCACATTTTTCAAATGAATCCCTTTGTCCAACATCTACTAATTATCATATTTTAATTTATCAATTAAATAGCTAAATCTAAATAACCTATATATGTGGCAATTTCAATAGAAGAAATAATTTTCTATTAATCCAATACCTTTATTAATTCAAAATGCAATAGTATATTAAAATAACAATTTATTGTAAGTATACATGTTAGAGGTAATGTGTTTTTTCGAGCAATGCGGTATCTTTTAAACTTTAAATCTTTTTTTAAAAACGTATTTATTTTAAATTTAAAAATCTGATTTTATTGGAAATGTATTCCAGCATGCTTAGAATACCTATCTTATGAATTCCATACAATTTTGCCTTTAATCTTTGAGTCATTTAAAATTTATATTAAAAAAATCTACGCAAAAACGATATAAATTATAGTAAGTTCAAAAATTCATGGTAAAATTATCTGAAATTCAAGAGTAGGTATTCAAAATTTCGCATCACATTTCCGATGATTTTTATATAAAAAGATCTGGATGATTTTTATGATATCATCATGAGTAAAAATATAATTGTAATTTATATTATTATTTTTTAACATGCATATATTTTACTATTTTTAATTTACAAATATAATGTTAATATCTCCGACTTCTTTTTTTCTATTATTTTTATTCCTGGTCAATTTATTATTATATAGAATAGGATTTAGCTTTGAATCAAAATAATTATCATTTCTTTTAAAATATCTAGGTTTCCAATTAGCAATAAAAAGTAAGTGGACCATGTGCAGTTAAGTGAGAATTTTTTTAGATATCATATGTTAGATCAGGAATTAGGATCCCTTAGTAATTTGCAAATATTACTTAAACTCATAGTTCGTAGATATAAAAATATTTAATTTTATTAAGAGAAAAGAAGGCTTAAATTTAAAAATAAATATGATAAATAAATAAATTAAAAATATAATAGTTTTAGGCCAATAATTTTTTTTTTCATTTTAGAAAATATAATTTCCTGTTTTTAGTTAATTTTTATGTTTTCATTTATATGGAGTTATTTTTAATCTTTATTTTTTACTTTATTTATTCTCCCAAAAAAATTAAAAAACTTTCACATGAATTTTAAATTTATATCATTTTTTTATTATTATAGCTATTTTTTATTATTTTAGCTATTTTTGTTATATAAAAATATATAAATAAAATTTTTAAATGCTCCATCTTACGGAAATATTTTTATTACATTATTTTCTATTTTTTATTCTTATCTGAATATATTTTATTCATTGCATTAAATTACATGGATAACAATTTAATGAAAAGTGGCATATGAGTTAGACTTGACTTAACGATCGAACTGAAACCCCGAATGGAATATTCACACATGTCATTAACACTTAAATATAAATTTAAACTTTATGCTAATTAGGATAGCTGAAGTCTTGCCAAATATAGATAAATTTAAAATTTTACAAATACAAAACTGTGTAATTTATCCATCAACAAAATTACAATCTTGACCAATTTTTATAAAAAAATTTTACAAATACAAAATTGTGTAATTTATCCATCAACAAAATTACAACCTCGACAAGGCATCGTTCTACTTCTACCATTTTTCCCTTTTTTATTTTATTTTAACAACAACATTTCACATTCCCTTTTATGGCCTGGCCAAGAATATATGGACCATTATAATATAAACTAAAAAAAAAGGGGGGACGTGAAAAAAAATCAAACATACCGCACGTGCCAACCACAAGAAAACAATTATTTCTCATCTTATAACACATAAAAACGTACACAAAAATAATGTTTTTATCTCCCTTTTACCAAAAACTCCACCGCAAATTCAAACTTTTCCTCCAACTTTTATTTATTCCCGACAACCGTAATACTTTTCATCCTATAATACCAGCAATAAAACATAAACCAAAAATAAGAATGTTTCCTATAACCTCAATTTCCCATAACATAAAAACATACAAGAAAAATGTTTTTCTCCTTTTCTCCATAAGCCAACCACCGCAATTTCAACTTTTATTCCACTTTTTATTTATCCCTGACAGCCGTAATATTAAAATTACTTTATTGTAATATTACCATGTAAATAATAATCCATATTACACTCTGATAGGAAATAAAAACATATTCCTCTAAGTTCTCGTTTAATACGTATAATATATCTACATAACCATCTATTCAATTTAACATTCCACATAAATATAATTTACAATTGCTCTAAGATGAGCCTAAACCTTCGGGTTGAACCTCCCATTTTTTATATTTCTTTTTTTTTAAATTATACATATCTAAATTTTACTTTACATTCCCTCCAAACTACCCTCTGGGTCGGACATGATCATTGTGGCGCATCACCGTGCCCCATTTCCAACTGGACCAAACTCAACTTTGAGCCTCTATTTTCACCGATAATGCCCTTGGACCATTTTCTGCCCCTCCCATCAAACAGGCGGGTCCATACCATTTCCCCGACACCGAATTTAATCTCCGGGTCTTCCCGAACTACATTTCCCCTGTCCTTTACTTTCAAAAGATCCAACGGCAACCTAGTCCTCCGACGGAGAAATAATTCTGTAGGGGTCATTCCCTCCCGATTTCGAGAGTTAAGATAATACAACTGAGCTAAGTACGCTTCATCCTTATCATTTACCAATTTCCTTAGCCAATTCTTCACGACGGCTACCATCCTCTCAGCCTGCCCATTCGAGCTGGGATGATAAGGCGGCGTCAAAATATGCTGAGTCTGTGACTCCGCAAACTGTTTGAATTCATCGCAGGATTGTTACAAAAGCCGATTCGGGTCGATTTGTCTAAAAGGCCCGATAATTATTTTAGGCAAAATAATATTATGTAGGCCTGGAGATTTTGTTCATAGATGGTAAAAAAGTTTGAACCTCACCACATAATGAGGTTTGCATAATATTATTTTGGCTAATTAATTCGAGCTTTTTAACAACCCCCGATCATGTATAAATGATAATTCTAAATTAACTTTGGCGCGGACTTCATGGGGGCATCAGGATTCTCACCCCCACTGATTCTGAAAATAGATAATTGGACATTGATATTTAAATAATTTTCTTTAAAAATTCACAGCATAGATCTTTTAGGGACGCTTTTCGGAACTTTCCGAAAAGTAGAACGGAACTTTCCGAAAAGTAGAACAGAACATTATTTTTTTGGGGCGAAACGGGAACGCAAAAATGCTTTTTTGGTCCATTAAAACGCTTACATTTTATGATGAGGTAAAGTTTTGGGCTACTAATATTTTTCATTGAAAAATAAAGCTCTACTGCCACATCAACACATGTTATAACTGTGTCTTCCACTTATATAATAAAAAATTTTAACGAATGATTTATTTTCTTACTCTTGCTTTTAATTTTTTTTTTGTTTTTACTTTTAGGTAATTTTTTAGGATAAAGTCATAAACTTGAGTTCACACAAAATATCTTCTATAAATATAGCAGATTTTGTAAGGTATTAGATTTTCAATAATGTTAATGAATTGAATATTTTTTAAAAAATGATTATATTTGTTGTAATTAAAGTTTTGTCTGCTATATATTTTAATGAATTGTCAAAATTATGTCAATCATTATTGGATTCGGATTTATGAATGTGTTAATTAATTCTTTTGTTTACTAAAATGGCCTCTCTTTGTCACCGTATTTATATAGTTGAATAATATTATATAATAGAGTAAAAGAGACTGGCCGATCATATTTTTCTAGAAAATCAGCAATATCGGTTCCGATACCGATATATCGGACATCCTAATTATTATAGAATATTTTTAGGAAGGTTATTATTTAAATATAATTTTTAGACTGAGGTTTTTAATTGGAATCAATGTACATTTATTAATATTTTAACCTGAAATTTTCTTTTTTCTTTTTATTTAGGTATTCTATTGCTTAATATTAATTGTATTTTAATATTCACAATCCTGGTTTCCACTACACTTTTTGAATATTTTAAAGGCAATCCTTTCTGATCAAAATGTTATGGATGCCTCTGGTTATAATATCATAAAATCTAGAAATAATTCTGCTTTCATCTAAACTTATACCATCTAGAGAATTCCTAAGAGGTTAATAGATATCTTAATGAACTAAGGGGTGAAAGGCGTAAAATCGTGATGAAAATTGAAGAGGGTTAAGGAGTTGCGAAGATTCTATTGTCATTAGAATAAATGGGAGCAGGGAGAGGGGGAGGAAGATAAATAAATTTAAAAGAGGGAGAGGGATATTATAGCATTTTGATCTATATTTCAAATTTTTGCTAATTTTAATTTTTCTTCTTTTTCGCTTAGATTTTCATTTTTTAATAATTTTGGATTTTATTACTACTTTAATTTGTCATTGAGAAGATGGTAATATCATCATTGACTTAGGAGGAATCTAGAAGCGCGTTGTTATACACAAGCAAATCTGTTTACATTTTAAATACATGTCGATTTATGATTGGCTAATATGAGCTTTTTTTTCTAACATGAATTATTATGTAATTTTAACATTTTATTATCGCAAGTTGCAATATACCCTGATTTTTAAATTATTCGTAATGTATAAAAATGTAGATCTTTCAATAAAGTTTGAAATACAGCTGTCCATTTGATTTTCCATCCAAATGAAGCGAATTCGATCCTCAGCCTTAGGGCAATTTTTCGCGGTGACGCGTTAGCTTCAAACCCAAAAAATTAGGGGAGAGGGAGCTGCACGAGGCAATCTAAAAATGATCTAAAATAAAATTCCATTCGCCATAAAATTTACCAGAATAAAATGTTTGGTATAAATTTTATTTAAAATAAATCAACGTTTACTAAATATAATATTTTTTTAAATAAGATAAAATCATCTATATAACAACTAATCAAAGCTTTATAATTAGAGAAAAAAATGAGTTAAGTCGAATACATTTTACAAAATTAAATATTTATTTCTTTTTATAATATAAAATGTGCAAAAATTTGTAAGCATTATATTTAAAATATATATAAATGAATAATTAATGACAGGCTGAACATCTCTAATTTTAAATTAGGTTCGGTTCAGGGCAAAAGAAAAACAAGAAGGGACTTCGGTTCGGGTTTGCATTAGATATTTTTTATAAAATTATTTACAATATAATTCGACATAAATTTGAACTATTACACACAAATAATGTTGTCGCAAAAAGTGCCTTTCAAAAAAAACTAAATTGAGGCTTTTTGACAACATTACAAACCCTATAACATTTTTGTATTAACTTAGTGATCCTGTTCCAAGCTAGAAACTTAGCTGTTCTAATAATTATAATTCAAAGCTATCTCCAATATTATTATTAATATAAAATGCACTGAACCAACTATGCACCAGAGTTTTGATAAAAAAAAAAGTTTGAGTTTAGGTTTACAAAAATTTCTAAACACTGAATTCAGGTTCGGTTTGGGTTCAGAAAAAACTTTCAAAAACTGAACTTCACTCTTCCGGGTTTAGATTCGGTTCATACGCCTGCCTGCCCCCCTAAACAAAAGGTTCTCGTTTAAAGCTTTGTATTAGTTGAAGCAGAAAAAGACAAGGTTTACTATTGAGACTCACATTCTACTGATTATCGAACAAAATTAATTTGAAAACATTTCTTATCAAAATAAAGATCGTATAATGGATGGTAAATTAATTGGTCGAAATATATATCGTTATTAAATACATTTAAATTCTATAAGATGATGCCCAGGCTTTCTGGGGGGGGGGGGGGGATCCCAAAATTTACAAAAAAAATAATGCATCTAGTGAACGAATATTTTTTATTGCTAGCTTATACTATTTTATTTAGGTTGAAAATTTATATAAAACCAAAATATAGTGCGATGAAGTCTAATTTATAGGCAAAGTTATTGTACCCAGTTTAATCTATCGGACGAAAAGTCTTGGTATAGGTTATTAAAGGTAGTTTATAATATGAAGGGTTAGATTTATATTCATTAATTAATCATTTTCTTGGTTTTATTTTCGGGAATCAAAATTATCACAAATGTAAAAATTAGTATATTAAAATAATTTATTGTGCATTATCTTTTTTTAAAAAAGTCAACGTTTTTTATTCAATTGGTCGATGTTCTTATATTACACCATTGCCAGATTTGAGTGATTGATAGTTTCAACATTTGTAAATTTAGACCCAGGGAAAATTGTCATAGTTTAAATTGGCATTCTCAACACTTGGGCATCATTTGATAAAACCACTAAAAGAAAAATAATAATTACTACAAGAATCAGTGACTAAGCTTCTTTGTCTGGTAATAAAATATAATAGATATAAGATAAAAGTAATTTACAAGAGCCTTGAAGTATATATTGCTAACATTTATAGAGGTGCTATTTGGAATTGTAGTATTCGTAAGTCCGCTATGCACTGAGATCGTTGAAATATTTTGGGCTGTTGTTTTCAACAATTGGATATTATTTGGTTTATCTAAAACGATGAAAAAAAAATATTTATGAGGTATGTAATTAAGGTAAATACCGAGTATGTGATTCTGAATTTCTGAAGAGATATTTGAAGTTGTAAAATTTGTTGATATATTATTTATAGGCAATAAATCTATCAAAAATAATACTTGGGGATATTGAAATATATTTTTTAAAAAAAACTTCTTGAGGATGGCATTTTTATTGATTTCAATTGAGGAAGATCGTGAAGGATAGCTCTAGAATCTTGAGCAATATCTTTATAAAAATATATAAATTATGAGTATTTTAATCGTTCTCTGAATATCATTCAAAAAAAAATATTCATATTTATTACCTTTTTCTTTGTGAGGTTCTTCTACAATATTCCCTTTTGCTTCATATAAATTGAAAAAATTTGTATAATATTTTGTATACAAGTTTATGGGCAATTCAGAAGCAAATGTAGACATTTTAAGGGCTAATTCTTGGAAATGCTTAAATTTTTCACTTTTTGTCATGTGATCATTTATATTATGATTCGCAACATCATTATCCTTTCCACCATTATTTTCAATAGCATTCTCCTGAAGGTGTAATCCTCTATGAGTTGCATCTTCCGCTATAATCTCAATTATATTTTCAGGATTATCTCTTTTCACTGTCTCAACACATAATGTCAATTCATTTGGAGTTATAAAGGGGATTGTATTTTTATTTTTAATGCGTTGATCCCGTTTCCCATGGTATAAATCCCGTTTCATATTGTATAAATCTCGTTTAGTAATTACCTTTCCTGATTTATTTATATGTGATTGAATCTTTGAAATATCGTCATCATGTTTTAGGCCAGCTATCACATATTCTTTTTCTTCATCACTCAACCTGCGTTGTTTAGGCAACCTTATAAATAGGCTGTTATCTTAAGATATTTAAAATTTTATAAAATAGGTAGTGATATGGTTCTTGTAAATAACAGGGGCGTCACTAGCCTTTACAATCTCATGGGGATCAAAAAAATTTTTTTATAAAATTACCTTCTTTTTTTAGGCTAACATTATCCAAAATAATTACCTTTTTTAGCTAACTCACCTATTTTTTTAGTGGTATAAAAAAATTTCAAAATTTTGAGGGGGCTTGAGCCCTGGTGCTCCCCCCTTAGTGACGCTATTGATAAATACAGGACATGTTCCAAATAATTCAAAATTAGTTTAGCTTGGGAAATAAAAATAATGGCTACAAGTTTAAGCTACTTTTGTTTACCAATTTATTTTAATATTTGTTTGCTAAATATAATTATCAATATTATATTCATTAAAACAGGGATCTAAATAGATAAAGCAGCGTTAACTGTTATAATTCATCAAACACAAATTAAATTGCTAAAAAAAACAATTCCCGACCAAATCTGAGTCAAAATTATTATTTAAATGAAAATTATCAGTTGCCATTTTTAGATATTTTTAATATTGCTATTGAAAGTATTTCTCCCCATGTAAGCATATAGAAGTCTTCTCAACTATTAAATTTTTGTTTTTGGTAATTGGTCTATTCATAGCCAACTAAAAGCTATCAGCTCAGTTATTGTTTCTTTTAAAAAATATAGCTCAACTTTAAAGAAAGCATAAATTAATTAACTCATGTTGTGCCTAACGTATTATGTATTTTCGAAAATCAAGTGCTTGTAGAATGAGCCAAATTTAAGACATTATTTACTTGGGCTGCACTGATCCAAAATTTTTTCACCGATCCAATTATTTCAAATGGCACTGATACCAGATATTTATCCACTGATACCAGATATTTATCTCAAATGGTGTCAATCAGCCAATATTTACGTTGATTTTTTTTGTAATTATTTTATACAATATAAGAAAATGGATTTAAAATTAATCTGGTTTTAATCAGAATATTCATTAATCCTGGCTGTCTCAAAGCTATAAAATTCTACAAATATGTTGTATCTTTTTGTATGAAGGTTTGTATCATAAGTATATAGTGAATAATGTCTCATTTTATTAAGGTATAACCCGTAAAAAATAATTATAGATATAGTTCCATATTTAATGTTCACTTATTTTAATCAGAATATTCATTAATCCTGGCTGTCTCAAAGCTATAAAATTCTACAAATATGTTGTATCTTTTTGTATGAAGGTTTGTATCATAAGTATATAGTAAATAATGTCTCATTTTATTAAGGTATAACCCGTAAAAAATAATTATAGATATAGTTCCATATTTTTTTTAATGGTGATCAGAATGTTCACTTATCTATTTTAACCTTAATATAAATAAGTAAAAATTTATATGCTATATTTTTAGCATACTATATATATATATATTCATATTAAATTAACAAACTATGTATATTTATTTAACTAAAAAGTAAATACAAGTTAAATATCATTATCTATTAATGAAATATATAATATTAATGATTAAAATTCAGAAAAAATATTAATATCTTTGTTATTTAATAAAATTTAAATTTGCATGATTTTTATTTATATAATTTCTTTCTTAATAAAAACAATGGAATAAGACAAATAAAAATTTGGGATAATTTTCTTTTATATTACATTAAACATTTTTATTTTTCAGATGCCTTTCATCATGGGCCTCGATTCAGACTCCCAGTAAAAATATTTTATATGCCCAGGCTCATAATATTTAAAAAAAAATACCTAGGTCCACAATAAGTTTCAAAAAATTTTAGCAAATCATTGTCTGCCCAGCCCATGAAGGTCAATGCTCCCTTCACACTTTTTTATGTGAGTTATAAAGATGTATTGGGAGAAAATAAATTTTGCATTAAAATATTTTTAATATAAAAAAAGTTAAATAAAAATATATCAAAGTGTATCTTTAAAGTGTCTAATATCTAGTGATAATTAGTTAGTATTCCTATTTTAGTCAAAATGTTTGCCTTTTTTTAATAATTTACCAAATTTTTTTTTAAATTGTATTAAATATTATTTATTATATATTTTTTTAAAAAAAAGAATGGAACATTCGAATGAATAAATTAATATATATGTGATAATTTTGAAATTAAATAAAGGATATATATATATTAAAATAGCTAATAAGTAGTCGTAGTCGATTTTTTATAATGGCGACGAGTGGAGAAAATAATTCCTTAAATGGAGATTCAGAAAATTTGGCGGATAAAAGAATATTGGCGGATTTATCTACGATTAAATTTAATAAATTCGAAAGCGAATCTTCTATTTTTCGTTATTTTTCTCAATGGGAAGCCAGTTTTCGGTTAAAAAACGTAAGCCCATCTGAATGTCAATATAATGATATTTTTTTAACATTTTTTGGCAATAAGAATATTGAGATGGTTGACCGTTTTTGTTATCCTGATTCGATCGAAACTTTATCTTTTAGTGAAATTAAAGTCAATATGCTTTAAATTATTTAAACCGACGTCAACAACTTTTGCTTCTAGATTTGATTTTTCATTAGATTACGAAGAACTTTCATGAGTTGGAATAACTAAACGATTTATTAGCTGATCTGCATGTTTTCGCAATGTTTTTTAGGGAGTTTCAACAATATAAGAATATAGCCCAGCTCTTTCTTTGATCACTCCCTCTCTTTAACCTTTGGTATTCTCATTGTTTAACCACACAGGTTGTGAAATTTCAAATTCTCTCTCTTTCGAATGTAAATTATGATTATGACTTTGTCTATCATTTTCCTTTTCTATTTCATATTCAACATTTGGTCTGATCCAATCCAAGCTAGTTCTCAATTGTCTACCAAACATAATCTTGGCAGTTATATTATAGAATGGAATGGGAGATTGTTATTCCTAGTAAATTAAGAAATGCAGTGTTAGGCATGATTCATTGGAGACATCCTGGGGAAAATGTAATGAAATCTATTTTTAGATTGTATTGTTGGTGGCCCAGATGTAATGTTGATATAGAAAATTTTATCAAAATATGCTCTGGATGCCAGAAAAATAGACCTAGTATTCAAGAAGTACCTCCATATTTCTTGGACTGTTGGTAAGGAATCTTGGGAGCAATTCCATATTGATTTTGCTGGACTAGTCGATTCCTACTCCAGATGGTTAGAAGTTGATCTAATGCAGAATACCTCTGCTGAGGCTATAATTAAACGATTAAAAAAATAGTTTGCTAAGTTTGGAATACCCTACATTCTGTCAGACAATGGACCACAATTCTTATCTGGGGAATTTCGTAGGTATTGTGATTTAAATAGCATACGTCATAGTTCAGCACCCTATCATAAAAAAACTAATGGATTAGCTGAACGTACAGTACGAACTTTGAAAGGTCGGTATTATGCGACGAGTCAATTACTTATCCCGAAGAAGCTATGATACAGGTTTTAACAACCTATCGATTGAGGGAGCCTAGCTCTACAGGAAGATCTCCTGCCAAGATTATGTTTGGTAGACAATTGAAAACTAGCTTGAATTGGATCAGACTAAATGTTGAACATGAAATAGAAAGGGGAAATGCATAATTTACATTTGAAAGAGAAAATTTGAAATTACACAACCTGTATGGTTAAACAATGAGAATACCAATGGTTGGAGAGAGGGAGTGATCAAAGATATTCTTATAGTTGAAACTCCCAAAAAAACATGCAGATCAGCTAGGAAATCGTTTAGTTATTCCAACTCATGAAAGTTTTTCAGAAGTTACAGAAATAAATAGTGGCTGTGAATGAAGCCGGTACAAATACTGCATTACGTTTTTCGTCAAGAAACTGTAAACCTACAAGGTTTATTGAGGAAATCTAACTTTAAAATGTTTGAAGAAAATGTAATAAATTGTATTAAATATTCTTTATTATATTTAAAAAAAAGAATGGAACATTGAAATTAATAAATATGATATGATAATTTTGAAATTAAATAAATGATATATATATCAGAGACCTGCAGGCCCGGCCCTAAACCCGGCCAGTATTTTAAATTCTTTAAATATACCCGGGCCAAGCCTAAAAAAATTTTTTTAAACATATCTGGGCCGGGCCGGGCCTAAAAATTTTTTTTTAAAATATATCCGGGCCGGGCTTAAGATTGTTAAACCCGGGCCGGGCCGGACCTTAATATTTTTTATAAAAATTTTTACATTATGAGTTAATGGTTATAAGATTATATTATATTATAGTTATGATTAATATAATATTGGGTGATGGTTAACACTACCTAACAACCCACAGATCGATCTAATTATTAATTTCCTGCAAATTTATTCAAAGTATTAATATATTTTTTTATAATTCATATCTAAATTTTTAAAACATATTTTACCAAAACAATCAAATAAAGGAATATCTTAAATAAGCCCCAATATTCAAGTATTATTAATATATTTTTTTATAATTCATATCTAAATTTTTAGAATATATTTTACCAAAACAATCATATAAAGGATTATCACTTCTTAAAGTTTATAATTGATTTTACTTAATATAAAGCATTTTTTAATTGAAAATTTTCTTTTACACAAGTATCATTTTATTTCTCTTTTTCTCTGTCCCAAATTCAAGCAATTACGTATGTAGTCAGGGACAGATCGCAAAATGACGGAAAACTATATAAAAGATTATATTAAATTACAAGAGTCTCAGGTGAAATACCATCAACCAGTCAAATTACGACTGTTATTAAACAAACTGAATCGTTTTATGACAAATGGGGCGATGGTAATTATGGTAATATGTCAATACCCGATGATGAATATTATAATTAAATAAATAATAGATAAAACATTTAAGGTGGATAATTTGTTAGAGTGGTGGGCGGCTCATCAAAGCGAATTTCCAATTTTAGCAAAATTGGCAATTCCTGCTTTAAGTGCAAGCTGTGAGCGGAATTTTTTCACTACTGGGAGAATTCTTGAAGAAAGAAGAAGTAATCTTCAACCTGAAAAGGTAGATATGCTTCTCTTTCTTCATGATAATTTGTGAATTTTTAATATCTTTCTTGAGTTTAGGGTTTCGTCAATCATGCTGGTTTTTTACTTTGCAAAGTGTCAAATATTTATTGCATTTATTATATTTACCTTGAGTCATGAAAGTTTTTAATCCAACATTTTTCATTATTTTTTTTACAATATTATATAATACAATTATCTTCTTTTGTTATAAATTTATATTATAAAATAAATTATATTAATATTGTGCAATTAGATTATATTTTCAAAATACTATTTATTATACATGCATTTTTTTAAATAGGGATTTATTTTTATTTTATAAATTAAATAGTAAATTAAATAGAATATATTATATTCTCAAAATATTTTCCATTTTTATAAATTAAATATTAGTTTTATTTTTTTTAAATGTAATATAAAATATAGTATATGACAAATATTATTACCATTTTTATGAATATTAGTTTTATTTTTATAAATGCAATATAAAATATAGTATATGCTCAAAATATCCATTTTTATAAATAACAGTTTTATAATTTTTATAAATTCAATATAATATTCTTAAAATATTAGCTTTTTACATGCATTTTTTAAATAATAAGTGATAATACTTGAAAAATATGGTAATATACCTCATAGGTGAATTTTTGTATATACCAGGTCGAATAAAATTTTAAAAAATTCCGAGCCGGGCCTGAAATTTTTTTTTAAAAAATATCCGGGCCGGGCCTTAAATTTTTAAATCCAGGCCGGGCCATAATGTTTTGTATACATATTATTGTAAAAATCATATAATATAGATTTTGTAATATAATAAAAAAAATAATGGACAAATTAAACCCATCAATTTATTTTATAGTTAATAAATACTGTTTAATTCATAATTTATATTATATAGGTACTATTTATATGTACAATAATAATTTTAAAAAATGTTAGTTGCTTTATGAATAGGTTTTAGTGATAGCTTTTATTAGATAATTTTAATAAGTTTAATGTAATGTAGTTATAACCAGTTCAAACTAATTATAAATTGCATAAAATGAACCCTATATTTTTACCAGAACCTGGTGAGATATTTGTTATAATTTAGATCCCCATTTTAAGTTTTGAAAAATTTATAATTATAATTTTAAAAAAACAATCATTTTAGCAATAAAATCTTAATCATTATTTGTCATTTATTCTGGAATCAGAATATAAATTTGTTTTATAAAGTAATTCTTTATATTAAACAAGATTTTTATTAAAAAGTTTATGAATATGTAAATCATCAAAAAAAATGAAATACCTAAATCATGATTGTGTATTTCATTCAAATTAATTACCACCAATTTATCTTCACCCTTCTGATGAATAAATCTTACAGCAATTTTACTGGTACAATTAATTTTTAAAGTTTTTGTGTTTCTCTGGCCTTTTCCATGACCCCTATAAAACCCTCCTTGTATACAGGCAAAGTGTATTCTTCTATAAAGATATCGTTTTTTAACTTCTTCTGAAGTATTCTTTAGAGTGTCTGATCGACTTATGGAATAATTTGTTTTAACGTGCTTTTCGTAATTATTTACAGCAGTCCTCAGTTCTTCATAGGAATCAAAAGTTGTTCCCACTGCTAGCATCTGAAATTTGAATTAAAAATAATATTGGGATTAATAAAATGATTACCCAGAATAAAAAATCTCCACTTTTTATTGGTTACAATCGTTATGGGTGGATTAAAATTAATAAAATTTGGTGGTTATTTAGTAAATGGTTTGACCTGCAATAATGTCATTAGTATAGTTGGGTGATGGCTAAATGTCGGTTAATTCTCAATCTTCAGGTGTCGGAGAAAATCCGTTAAAATTAAGGCGTTATAATTTATATTAGTTTCTTCCAAAATTGAGCTGCTATCTTATAAGAAAGACGCTGATATCAAATAATAGTTTTCGGCTAATGGTTTAGCCAATATTTTAGCCGGCTCTTAATCGGTTAAAAATATAGTAAATACCCAACTATAGTCTCATGAACCATCATCAATAAAATTTATGCGTGAATCAGCATTTTTAAATGATGACTCTTAAAAGATGCCTGAATAAATTTTAACGATATGTATAAGATTTTTACAGATAAATTCAGCGGCGTCACTAGGGAGGGGCGCGAAGGGACTCGAGCCCCCTAAAAATTTGAATAGCCCCCTTAAAAAATTTTTTTAATGGCTTAATATCCCCTTGAATTAAAAATAAATTGTTGCCCCCTGAACGATTTCTTTATAAACTATTACGTAATATATAAATTTAATTTTATTTTTTTTAAAATTAAGACTGTCTAAATTTTTATTAAATGAATACTATTTTTATTATTATTAGATTAATAAATATAAATTATTTCACTATGTCAGCTTGCAATCAAATTCTGTCTTAAAAATATATCAATATCACTCACTAAATATTAATTTAGCATTAAGAGTTGAAGCTTAATTGACTTTTATTATCTTATTAATAACACTAATTAAATAAATACAATCATTTATTAATTAAAATTAACAAATTTAATATTGTAATTAACCGAGTTACTTATCAACTATATTATTCATTTTTAAATTTAATTATCATGCCTCTTAAAAATATTTTAAAGGTCTAAATAACTATAGGATATTTTTTTATAAAAGCAGACTCATAAGGTTTATAATCTAATATCTATATTATAATTTTCCGATGTCCTCACTACGTCACGTCATGTCATCGCTACATCATGTCATCGCTACGTCATGTCATCGGTACGTATTTTTTTTTATTTTTTTTATTTGTTGATTTTATTTATTTTATACAAACAGATAATCCTACCAACAGTCTTAATTTATTTTTAAATAGATAATATTTTTTATTATTTTTAGCGAATATTACTTTTAGCGATTTAGAACGGGAACCATATTTGTTAATAAAATTTTATCACATTTGATTTTGCAAAAATGGATAGATATTTATAAATAATACTGCTTGGACGGTGGTTCAACAAGTTAATCATTTTCCTTTCACCCATAGAAGACCATAATCTGTTGTATTACCCATAGAAGAGAAGACCAAAGTTTCCTTTTCACTGATTTCATAAGTTAAATATTAGACGAAGTAAGATTATTAAATTAAGCTAAATTCTTTTTAAAAAAAATATATACTCTTTTAACACTTACATATCACTTACACTTTTCACTCCATACTCTTTATTATAATATCACAAAACCTTTCAGGCAACTAATCCTTATAATTGCCTTAATCACTTATATCTTTTTGTTTTCTAAAGTTTAAATATTTAAATAAGAATATTAAATTACGTTAATTATACTAAATGTTTTATCTACTTTATAAATTTAGAATAAGAATCTTTAATTGTGTAAATTTAATCAGGAAAGTGTTAATTAAAAAAATAGGAAATTTGAATACAGGTTGATCTAATGTGGTTCAAAAACATTATGACCAATGTAAACTGGGTTACTCTTTAACACTTACTTTCACTAAGTATCACTAAATATCACAAAATTTCAAGCAACTACTTGATATAAATTGCCTTATTCAATCACATTTCCCTGTTTTGAAAATTTTAAATATTTGAATAAGTCTATTAAATTATGTTAAATTAAACTGAATATGTGGTTCAAAAATCATTATGACCAATGTAAACTGGGTTACTCTTTAACACTTACTTTCACTAAGTATCATAAAATTTCAAGCAACTACTTCATATAATTTGCCTTATTCAATCACATTTCCCTGTTTTAAAAATTTTAAATATTTGAATAAGTCTATTAAATTGTGTTAAATTAAACTGAATTTCTCATCACATTTTCCTGGTTTGATAATTTTAAATATTTGAATAAGTTTATTAAATTGTGTTGAACTAGACTGAATGTCTCATCTATCTCATAAATTAGATTATGAATTATTAAAATTAAGCCAAACTGTTGTGTAACTAAAATTAATAAATTGATGACTAATAATGATACAATTAGGATGCTGTATGGTTTTAATTAACATGGATTATTCATTTTAATATAACGGCTACATAGACTTTTATATTACTGAGGAATTTAAATAATAAATGTTGCTTTTGCTCAACCTTATCTTCCAATATAATCTCCGGAGGAAATGAACGGATGAAATGAACGGAGAAAATGAACGGAGAAAATGAATAACGAGTGAACTCTTATCTTAAAATATAAAATTCTAAACTTAATAAGGAAATACTTAGCTAGGTTAAAATATTATATTTGAAAACAGATAAATTTAAACGTAACGTAGGAATGTAAATAGTTTTATTCTTCCTTTTCCTCCAATCTAATTCTTATTTTTGGGGCCATTTCTATAAATATTCACAAAATAAATCACCCTTATCTTATTATGTTTCATTCGCAAAATAAATATAAAATAATATTTAAGAATATATCTATAAACAAACATAGAATAATACTGGAAAATGTAAATGAATAGTGAATAATTCAAAAGTATCACTTTTTATCTCCTGATAAGACTTAATAATTTAGGCAAGTCATTTTTTTAACTTTTTAATGTAATTTATATTATTTTAAGCATTCTACCTATTTTTAAGGCTATCCATTTTGTCAGGCTGCACAATATGTCCTTTTATCTCTTATGAATATTTTGTATAACTAACTGAAAAACATACAAAGTACATTTCTAATATTTAACTAAATTAATATAACAATTTTTAAGGATCCTAATTTTTTAAAAGCTTACCATTATGTCAGATCCACCATTGCTCTATTATCCCTGCTGATTATTTTGTATAACGCACAAAAAAATATACATAGTACATTAATTTTATTATAAATAATTTGATATATGATTTTATATCTATTCCAAAAAATCGATTATTTTTTTATAATTTAAATAAATTTATATTATTTTAAGCATTCTACGTATTTTTAAGGCTATCCATTTTGTCGGGCCGCACAATATGCCCTTTTATCTCTGATGAATATTTTGACTAACTAACTGAAAAATATACAAAGTACAATTTTAATATTTAACTAAATTAAATACAATTTTTAATAATTACTTTTTAAAAGCTTACCATTTTGTCGGATCCACCATTGCTCTATTACCCCTGCTAAATATTTTGTGTAATGCTCAAAAAAATATACATAGTACATTATTTTTATTATAAATATAGGATTTTTTATCTATTCCAAAAAATCAATATATATTAAAATATTTATTTTTATTCAATTAAATTATATATTTATTCTTAAGGATCCTACCTTTTTTAACAATACTCCTTTTTATTCTTTCAATAAAAAATACTAAACGGAGTTATCTATTTTTAGGATTTTATATTTATTCCAAAAAAAATACATATTATGGTATTTATATATTATTTAAATTATTCTATACCTTTCACAAGGATCCTATTTTTTTTTAAGTTTGCCAATTAGTCTCTCCGAATGGTATTTTATTTTAATCCTACCTTATAAAATTAACTTGAGAATTTTTTTTTTTACTTTAGAAAACTATCCCCATCGTATTTCCTCTTTATAATTGTTCGAATATTGATATATCAGCCATTAATAATAAATAAATGCAAAATAAACCTTTAGAATATCATAATAGGCTTGATAAGTCCCCCCCCAAAAAAAAAATTTTTTGGATGATAGCCTTCTAACTTTTAGAAATATGCATCTAATATTGACCCATCTACTGGTTTACATTATTTTAATGTTTTTTAATTTCAACAATAGTTTATTTATATTTTTGCCTGATTTCTTTATTTGTCTAGGCTAACCCTAATCCATATTGCTACAAAACATGATGAATCTATTATTAAAGAAGATAAGCAAAGAAAATAATGACGATTAAACAAACGCCTTACCCGTTCTAGAGTTACTGGTAGCCAAAATAATAAAGTACGCTTGAAATGAACTCCTCTAGAGGTTTATTTTGTTTTTTTTATCTTATGTTTTATATCTATGATTATTTTGTTTTCACCCATTTCTCCAAATGATATTTCTATCACCACTACCACAATCCCTATGCCACCTCTGCCTATTTTTTAACAAATATAAGCATTCAATTCCGCACTATCAATCACTTCTTTAGGAGTTAATATAAATATTACTTTATCCGATTCTCCGAGAAACTTTCATGAATATTTAGAGGAATGTTCAAACTTGAATGTACAGTACGGCCAATTTTATCAACTTTATTAATGGAAAAATATGCAGTAGTTCTGTCGTGGCCTTTATAACAATACTTACAACCGTTTTATGGTTGAGTTAACATTGTCGTTCATGATTCTATTTTAGAGGGGGATACCAATGCTGACATTGACAGAAATATCGTTTTGCGTTCTTCTTTTACCAGTATACCAAGGCATAGGCATATCATCTTTATCAGGACGTAATGTGTTTTGTACACTGATTTGTTAATCCGTCATTACTTTCATCTACAACCCTAAATGATATAAAATTATACATTAATTATTTCCTCTCCAGACGACCGCCAAGATTTATTTTGTCGCTTTTTTCATCAAAAATTAAAATGTCAACAAGGATTTGCTCTTAATTTTATCAAATACATAATAATTAATCCTCATTATTTTTTAAAAAAATTATCTTAAATTTATATGTCATTAAAAAAAAATATCTTAAAAAATATATAAATAATTTGCATATCAATTTTATTAATGTTTAATGGCATTTTTGTAATTTAAATAGATAGCATTTTTTTTTTACTTAACATAAAAATATATATATCCCTTATCAAATTCTTTGACAAATATTTCGGAAATGCAAGACATACA